ATGTCCGACAGTCGGCACCCTGCGCCAGCTCGCGGCGCTCGACGGCGCCGTCGCGGGGCTCGGGACGCGCCCCGCCGTCCTCGCGGACGCGCCGAAGCGCCTGCGGGACGCGGCCGCGCGGCTCCTCCTCCTGGCGCAGCGCGTCGAGCACGCGGCGAGTGGCGTGATCGTGCGCGCGGCGCGGCGCTCCCTCGCGGCGCGCGCCGAGTCCGCGGCCGCGGCGGCGCCCGCGGAAGCGCCCGAGGCGGCCGCGGCGGAAGCGCCCGAGGCGCCGGCGAAGAAGACCGCCGCGCGCCGGGAGACGATGGGCGGCGCGCGGCGCGCACCCTTACGCCCCAAGCTGACCAAGGCCGCGGCGCGGCGCAAGGAGCTCGGCGCGAAGAAGGCCGAGGAGGCCGAGGCGCGGGCCGCGGCGAAGCGGAAGGAGCTCATGGGCGGGGGCTGGTGCGGCACGACGGCCGCGTGGGTCGAGCAGGACCGGCGCATCGCGCGGAAGATCTCGAAGAAGCGCCGCGAGGCCGGCGACGACGACGTCGTTGAGGCGGAGGACGCGGCGGAGGCGTCGGACGGCGCGGAGGCGCCCGCGGCCGCGCGGAAGCGGCCGTGCGCGCACGAGGCCGCGGAGCGCGCGGCGCTGCGCTGGCTGCGCAAGGCGGAGGCGGGCGACGTCGGCCTGGACGTCGCGGAGGTCGAGGGCGTCGTCGCGGCGCTGCGGCGCGCCAGGGGCCGCGTGTCGCTGACGGCGGACCGGCCGCCGATGACGCTCGCGGCCGCGCGCGCGAGCCTCCGCGAGGCCATCGCGAAGTTGTTGGGCGGCGACGCGTCCGTCGAGGTCGAGGTCGAGCGCTGGGACCAGGTCGTGCGCCAGCACCCGGACTACAAGCGCGAGCTCGACCGGGAGCGGCGCCGCTGGGACGCGCTCCAGGCCGACGCGACGCGCGACGCGCTCGCGGCCGTCCGCGGCGCGGTGCCGCCGGACATCCGCACGGGCGGCTGGAGCCGCGAGACCCTCGGGGCGGTGCTGCCGGCGGCGCTGGCGAAGCGCGTGCTCGCGACGCGCGCGCTCTGGCTCGCGCGGCTCCGGCCGGAGACCGGGCGGGACAAGGGCTTCCCAACTTCAAAGGCTCCTCTCTCGGTCCCTTGTCCACTCGTTTCGGCTGATTTTGGGACGAGCGATCATCTCTCGGAACGGTCGCGAAGCGTGGATGCTTTTCCCGGAACGCGCGCGCGCGGCACGCTCACGTTGGAGCGACGTCGAATCACCCCGTTCCCCGCCCAGGCCGGAGACCGTCGCGCGCGCGCACGTCGCGGACCTGCGGTCGGCCTACGCGGTCAGCGGCCTCGACGTGGTCGAGCTCCGGGCGGTCTACGCGTCGCTGCCGACGGCCTTCGAGAACGACGGCGACGGCCGGAAGCGCGCCTGGGCCGAGGGCGTCCGCGAGAAGTTGGTGTCGCTCGTCGCGCGCGAGGCGAGTTTGGACGCGCGGGAGCGGCGCCACCCGGCCTGGGACGGCGACTTCGCCCTGCCCTTCGACGGCGACTCGCTCGAGCCCGTGGTCGCCGTCGAGGCGAGCGGGCTGGAGGGCGCGGCGGACGCGCGGGGCCTCGAGCTCGAGCGGATCCGCGCGGACCGCGCGGCCGCGCCGCGGGCGGACCTCGGCGCGCGCGTCGCCCTCCGCAAGCCGCGGCCCGCGGCGACGAAGCTCGCCGCCGACGACCCGCGGTCCGCCATGCTCGCGGCGATCCACGGGTTGGGCTGCGACGCGAAGCCGCGCGCGGCGCGCGCGGGCCTCTTCGCGGCCATCAAGCAGCGCGGCTCCGACGACGACGAGAACGTGAGCCCGCAGACGGGCCTCGCCCCGGCGTCCCGCGCGGGCCTCTTCGCGGCCATCAAGCAGCGCGGCTCCGACGACGACGAGAACGTGAGCCCGCAGACGGGCCTCGCCCCGGCGGCGCGCGACGCGAAGGCGTCCCGCGCGGGCCTCTTCGCTGAGCTCCGCGCCGTCGCGGCGTAAAGCACACAAGATTAATCGAAGCCCGCGAGCGCGTAGATCGCGAAGACGGCGGAGAAGAAGGCGAAGAGCCCGAGCCACTGGCCGCAGGCGCAGACGTCGGGGATCTCGTCGTAGTTCTTCGCCGGGTTCCAGTCGAAGCTCGACACCGTGTAGGAGCAGATGCCGATGAACCCGTTCTTCTCCGTGACGCCGCTCACGATCGCGCCCGCCCAGAACACGAGCAGCGACCGGCCGATGGCCCGGTGCGGCTGCAGCGCCGCGGCGCGGTAGGCGTTGGACGCCACGCCGGACCCGAAGACGCCGAGGGCTGACGCGGACTGCGCGAGCGCGAGCATGCAGACGGAAAACCCGAACCAGCCGTGCATCGAGTACAAATTCGCGCCGTCGGCGGTGGACGCCGCGAGGCCGTGGGACCGCCAGACCGCGATCAAACCGACGGTGCCGAAGACGAGCGCGGCGAAGTGGCAGGTCCCGTGCACGGCCTTGCGCCGCCGCGGCTCGATGAAATCCTCGGGCAGGCGGTAGACGAGGCTGCCGCAGATGAACGCGCCGAACGCGAGCGTCATCAGCAGCGGGTGGTAGCCCCAGACCTTGCTGCCCCAGTTCATGCCGCCGCCCGTGATCGTGTATTGCACGTAGCGCCAGGCGAGGCCCACGGTCGTGCCGGCGCAGAAGAGGGCGAGGCCCGCGGCGACCTTTTGCGACGTCGTCGTCTCGTTGACGTTGTGCACCGGCTGCGTCGGCAGCAAGGTCGATTTCTCCGACATGGTGTGCCGCCGCTGGTTACAGTCCGACGGTGGTGGTGCGCACCAAAACGAGGACAGAGGGACGACGCCGAGAGGGCAGCCGAACTGCGAACTCGTCGAATGTATCTCTTCATTGATTGCCTGTAACTTTGACGGCAAGAAAGCCACTGATGATCGGCCATCCCTCAATCCGGCCCACACGAGCAGCCCCGCGTGCGGGATCACGAGGATGTCGTCCATCCCGTGGGACCTGAAATTCATGCTTGAGAAGCGGCTCAAGAAGCTCGACGACAAGGTGCTGCGCGGCATGTGCGGTGCGCGCGCCATCGACGTCGGCAAAGACGCGACTTCCGAACAGTGCATCACGATGCTCCTCGAGTGGAAGAAGACGGCCGGAGGCACGCGCGTGATCCCGTGGGACCTGCACTATGTGCGCCTGGATGACATCAAAGACGTCAAGGTGCTGCGCGGCATGTGCGGAGAGCGCAGCATCGAGGTGAAGGGTGGCGCGCAACCGGACACGTGCGTGAAGGCGCTTCTCAACTGGAAGGACGGGGAGCGGAAGAAGAAGCCCAAGGACACGCGCGACATCCCGTGGGAGCTGATATCGATGGGCGAGACGCGGCTCAAGAAGCTCGACGTCGAAGCGCTGCGCGGCATGTGCCGAGAGCGCGAAATCGAGGTGACGGCTGGCGCGCACAAGACCACGTGCGTGCGGGCGCTTCTCGACTGGAAGGACGGGGACGCGCCATCGATTGCCTGGGATCTCAAGCACCAGGGCGCGACGCGCCTCGGCGAGCTCGACGTCGAGACGCTCAGGAAGGAGTGCTTCAAGCGCGGGCTCGAGATGGCTGACGGCGCGTGGACAAACACGTGCGTGATAGCGCTGCTCGACTGGAAGCAGAAGAAGAAGGAGGAGTGGAAGCAGGAGGAGCAGGCGGAGAAGGAGCAGGTGCAGGTGCAGGAGCAGGAGCCCTCTGCTCCCAAGAAGGCAAAGATCGACGAGACGCTGACAGCAGCGGAGTTGACGGCCGTCGCCGAGGAGCTGGGAAAGAAGCTCATCGCACAGGCGCAGAAACTCGTCGACGTGACCAAGAAGATGCCTGACGTGCACAAGGACGCAAAGAAGAACTTTTTGTTGGTGAAGGGCTTTGCTGAGGCGGCCGCTCAGGCATCCGACAAGTGGTTGGAGGAGTCGACGTGGGCGATCAAGAAGGTTGAAGAGCTCGCTAAACAAAACGCAGAGTTGCTCAAGACGCTGAACGACAAGGACTGTCTCCCTGAGGCTGTCGACGCCACCCAGAGGAACCGTACCGCGGCCAGCGTTAAGGTGATGTGCAAGGAGGCGATGACAACAGCAAAATATGCTAAGCACCTGCGTTGCCTCGGCCTCGACCTCGAAGATCAGGACGTTTTCCACATCATCGCGAGTGAGAATGGCGGCGCCGACCACCCCGACAATTACCTGTACGCGCTCGGCAGCACGTTCAACCGCTCGATCGGTGCGAATTACGATGAGCTCTGCTGCTTTCTCGCGGGAAAGGCGAAGGCAAAGAAGGCGGTGGAGATCTCGATGCGTCTGGGCAACACTCCGCGCAACAAGAAGAAGCCACAAAAAAGGTACCAGGGGACGGTGTCGACGGTCGCCGAGGTGGAGGCGCAGCACCTCTTCCACCGCGGCCAGGCGCTCATGTACGCTGTGCGCGCTGAGAAGCGGCGTCAAACTAAATCGCGGCAATAAAACGAGGACAGAGCGACGACGCGAGGGCAGCCCGACGCATGTGATCACATCGACTGTGTGGTGCAACTTTCCGGAAACATCCACCAAATCACCACTGCGCGCCGAGATTCGAGGATGCCACTCGCACGCATGATGATTCTGCTACTGCTGCTCCCCATCGCGAAGGGGCTGCGCATGCCCGCGCGCGGCGTGCCGCAGATGACGAGCACGAAATACGAACACACCTTCGTGCGGCCGACGGCGCGCCGCTTCATGTCCGCGCAGGGCATCGGCGGCCTCGCCGCGCGCGGCCTGTCGGCGGCGACGCTCGCGCTCTCGGTCCGGGCCATCGTCGCCGACGCCGCGAAGCCGCTCGCGGCCGCCGCGTTTCGCACGTGGACCGAGTTCGGCCGCGTCGCCGGGATTTGGTTCGCGGCGAACGCGGCGTTGTTCTTTTCGCTCGGCGCGCGGCGCCGCGACCGCTGGCCCGGCGTCGACGCGGCCGCGCCGAGGTTCAAGGACTACCCGCTCTTCACGTGGGTCGTTCCAGCTTTACAGCAGCTCCTCTTTTTCGTGCCCGCGTCCGCGCACCTGGCGGCCGCGGCCGCGGGCCGCGCGGCCCCTTCCCGCGCGGCCGTCCACGCCGTCGCCGGCCTGTTCGGGATGCAGGCGCGGGACCTCGTGCTCATCGACTCGGATTACCTCATGACCTGCCACCACGTGCTCACGATGGCCATCTGCCTGCTGATCTGGCGCGGCGTCTCGCGGTCGCCGTTCGACGCGCCCTGGGCCGCGGCCGTCGCGCTCTGCGCCTGCGCCGTCGAGGCGGGCAGCCTCGGCACGAACGTGTGGAACTTCTTCGGCTCGAAGGCGGCCTTCTTCGGCCTCGTGACGCTCTCGCACGTCGTCGGCCTCGGGGCCGGGTACGCCGTGCTCGCGCGGCGCGCGCCCTGGGAGCTGTGGACCGTGCTCGTCGCCGCCGCGCCCCTCATCGTCCAGCGCCAGGCCTACGTCCGGAGCGAGCTCCGCCGCGGCGCCCCGAGCGGCGAGTTCGGCGACTAATGATTCACATGTTCGAGGGTGTGGCGGAGGCGGCGGCGGTCCCCTATCGGAAGCGCCGCGCCCTGCGCCGGGGGTCGGTCCGCGCGGCCGCGGCGTGAACGCGCCGGGGCCGCGCGGAGCGAAAAACCTGGGCGGCGGCGGTCCGCGCGGCGGGGCGGCGCCGCCGGTCCCCCATCGGGAGCGGCGGCGGCGGCCCGGCGCGGAGCGCCGGCGCTCAGGCGAGTTCCGGCTCGTCGAGGAAGTCCGGCAGGGGCACGAGGCCGTCGTTGACCGCGCAGGCGCCCAGGATCAGGAGCCCGCCGGCGACGTCGCCGCGCGTGAACGTGTCGCCGAGGAGCCCCGCGGCGACGAGCGCGGCCCAGAGCGGCTCGGACGTGAGGATCAGCGAGCTGTCGATGACCGGGAGGCGCTTAAAAGCTTCCGCTTGCAACCAGATCGTGAAGGACGTCGACACGAGGCCGCACCAGGCCAGAGTCCCCGCGACGGCCGGCGACATCGTCGACAACGCCGAGGACACGTCGGCGACCGCGTCGGGCGCGCCGAGCGCGGCGCCGAGGGCCGCGGCGGCGCCGCCGAAGATGACGACGCACTGGATGGCGCTGAGCGCGACCGCGTCGTCCGGGTGCTCCTCGACCGCGTCCTCCAACGCGAGATACGACAGCCCGAAGCCCACCGGCTGGCCGAGCGCCAAGAGGAAGGCGACGGGGCTCGCGGCGTCGGTGACCGCGGGCCCGCCGAGCTCCAAACACGCGACGCCGGACACGGCGAGGGCGACGCCGAGCCACGTGCGCCGCGCGACGCCGCCCCTGGCGAGCAACGCGACGACGACCGCCTGCAGCGAGCAGATGAACGCGGCGTTCGCGGCGGGGAACCCCAGCGACAACGCCGCGGCCTGGGCGAAGTAGCCGAAGGCGCACAATCCGCCGATCTTCGCGCCGCTCGCCAAGACGCCCGGCGACGCGTCCGCGAGGAACGGCGCCGTCGACGCGGACGCGACGAAGAAGCGCAACGCGACGAAGACGAGCGCGGCCGTGGACCCGTCGAGGCCCGCCGCGGCGCCTAGATCCTCGCAGGCGAAGGCCGTCAACGCGAAGTTCGTCGCCCAGGCGACGGTCACGAAGAGCATCGCGCCGCGCCACGCGAGCGGGGAAGATTCTTCCGGTTCGCCGCCGGCGTCGAGCCCCTCGAGGTACTCGACCTCGCCCGCGGCGGCGCCGACGCCGCGCCGCGCGAGCTCCTTCTGGAAGAGCGTGCTCGCCCAGGTGGACCGGTCCAGCTCGTCGAGGTACTCGGCGTCGTAGGGCGCGCGCGGCGTCGACCGCGCCGGCGCGAGCGCGCCGGTGCTCTCCAGCGTCGCGAGGTAGTCGTTCTCCTCCTTTAGGGTTAGGCGGCCCTCGAGCTTCCTCCGCAGCACCTCCGCGCGCAGCGCGGTCTCCGGCGCCGGCGCCAGCTTTTTGAGATAGCTGGCCGTGCGGCTCGGGTCCTCCGTCGCCAGAAGCGGCGGAAGCGCGCGCGCGGCGCCCCCCGGCGCGAAGGCGGCGGCGGGCGCCGCGCAGGCCAGGATGAGGGCCGTCCTTGGGGCGATTTGGCTCGGCATTCTTGGGCTGGATTTGGTGCGTCGTACTGCGACCGCCGCGCAAGAGAGGGCGATGAATCGTGTGGCTCAGATGACGCGTTGACGTTGTGGTGCTCACGCCCGCGGACTGTGGCAGCTCGCCTCGACGCCTTGCACGGCGCGATCTCGCGCCGAGCAGCGTCGGACGCGCCCTCGACACAACCATGCTCGTCCCAGCCAAAGCGCTGGACCTCTTCCTGCTCTTGCTCGCCGCCTCGAAGCTGCGCCAGCGATGCAACGCAACACAAGGCCTCGACGCCGCGCACCCGCGCTACGGCGCCGCCGCGGCGCTCCTCTCCGGCGGCCTGCGGGACGCGCGCTGCAAGCCGCCGCACGGCGACGACGCCGCCGGCGTCGCGCGCGCCGTGACCATCGACGGCGAGGCCTGCGTCGTCACGGAGCGCTGCGCGGCGAGCCTCGGCGGCCTCCGGCGCCGCTGGGGCCTCGGCCGCTCGCTCGCCGCGCTCGGCCGGTCCGGGCCCGGCGCGGCCCTCGCGGCGCAGGTCGACGGCGGCTCGCGGGGCGCCGCGCGGCGCGGCAACGTGTTCCTGCTCAGCCGCGACGGGCGATTCGTCTTCAAGCAGGAGGACCCGTCCGTGCTCGCGGCGCTCGAGGGCGGCCTCGCCGAGGCCTACGCGCAACGCGCGGCGGCGCGCGGCTCGCTCCTGCCGCGGCTCGTCGGCGCGTATACCGTCGAACGGGGCGGCGAGACGACGCACTGGCTCGCGACGACGAACGTCTTCGGCTGCCGGCCCGGCGGCTGCGTCGCCGTGCGCGACAAGTACGACGTCAAGGGGTCGACGGCGGGGCGGCGGACGCGGCCGAAGAGCGGCACGCTCAAGGACTTGGACGCGCTCGACGACGCGGACGCGCTCCGGGTCCGCGGGTCCGAGCGCGTGCTCGCGGCGCTGGAGGCGGACACGGCGCTGCTCGCGGACCTCGGGCTGCTGGACTACTCCCTGCTCCTGGGGGTCATGGAGACGCCGACGCGGGGGCCTCTCCGTCCCCTGCGGCGCGTCCTCGGCGCGCCGTTCCGCGCGGTCCGGTCGCTCGCGTTCCGGCGAGGCGCGGCCGGCCGCGGCGTCGCGGTGCTCCGCGCGGCGCGGCGCGACGGCTCCTTCCTCGTCGTCGGGCTCATCGACATCCTCCAGCCCTGGACCTGGGCGAAGAAGCTCGAGTTCCTCTGCCGCGGCGCGCTCCGCGGCTACGGCGCCATCTCCGCCGTGCCCCCGGCGACGTACCGCGCGCGGTTCCTCGCCTTCGCGGGGGACCTGCTGGGGGGGGCGAGGTAAGAGCTGGCCGCCGCAACGTGGGAGACGTCGCGATTGTACGAGGCCCGGCGCCGTCGGACGTCGAGGTACGTCGTACGCGTCCGACGCCGACGCCTGCGCCGACGCCGCGTACCGCAGCGGCCGGCGGCGCTCGCCGGGGTCAATGAAATTATTGCCTCGAGCTCGGTCAGCCGCCGGCGCCGTCGCTGCGCGCAAAGCGTTGGACGCGCCCGGGGCCCGCGCGCACACGCCGGCTTCCCGCGCCGGCGCGTCGCCACGCTGGAGTACGAGGAGAAAACCATGTTCGAGCCGGGGCGCGATTTGGTGGAGACGACGCTCGACGAGCCCGTGCGGGAGACGATCATGCGCGACCTGCGCGAGGTCGGCGCGAAGCTCAAGCTCGTGATCCTGCCGCGCGTGAGCCAGGAGGGCGTCCTGGACCGGCTGAAGGAGTGGGATCTGTGGGGGCCCCTCGCGGTGTGCCTCGCGCTGTCCATCGTGTTGAGCGTGTCGGCGCCCGAGGCGCAGCGCGCGCTCGTCTTCGCCGCGGTCTTCGTCGTCGTCTGGGTCGGCGCGGCCATCGTGACGCTCAACGCCCAGCTGCTGGGCGGGCGCATCTCCTTCTTCCAGTCCGTGTGCATCCTGGGGTATTCCATCTTCCCGCTGAACGTCGGCGCGCTGCTGTGCCTCGTGCTCCACCCCGTGACCAAGTCGCTGTTGCTGCGCGCGCTGGTCGTGGGCGTCTGCTTCGCGTGGTCGACGCGCGTGAGCGTCGTCTTCTTCGGCGAGATCATCGAGGCGAAGCGCCGCGCGCTCGCCATCTACCCGGTCTTCGGGTTCTACTCGTTCATCGCGTGGATGATCCTCATCCAGAAGTAGGCCCCGGCCGGCGTAACGAGGCAAAACCCCACCTAGCTTCAGTGCCGCTTACTTGAGCACGGGCAGGGGGTGCTCCGGGTGGGCGACCTGGTCGTACTCGGCGACGCGCGCCGCGTCGTACTCGATGAGGCCCTTCGTCTTGCGGTTGCCCGTGCCGATCATGAGCTGGAAGAGCTCGCGGTTCATCCGCGAGTATTTCAGCAGCTCGTCGAAGGACACGCTCCCGTCCTGGTTCGCGTCCATGGCCTCGAAGGCCTCGGCGAGCGTCAGCTCCCACGCGTCGTGGATCGCGCAGACCTCGTTCGTGAAGGTGAAGATCTTGGCCATGGGGATCTTGGGCAGCTGCGGCGGGTTCTTCAACGACCGCGACGACGGCGACACGATGGGGTCCGGGTGGTAGTCGTCCTCGATGGCCTCGAACGCGACCACCCTCGAAATGATCGCGGCCTGGATCTCCTGCGGGACGGACGTGAGGCGGCCCGGGTGGACCGCCGTGGCGCCCGACGGCGACGTCGCGACCTGCTCGTCAAAGTCCATGCCGCTCGGCGACAGGACGTCTAAATTCCGCGTCGACTTGGTGAGGCCCGCGGCGCCGCGCGCCGCGAGGTAGTGCGCGACCGTGGCCCAGACCCGCGCGGCGGGGATCTCGTCCATGCCCTCGCTCTCGATGGGCAGCAGCGGCGCCCCGAACTGGTCGACCTCGCCGGGCTTCGGGTTCGCCTTGGCCGCGTGCGCCGCGCGGCGCTTGTACGCGCCCAGGAGCTCGTCGAAGATGAGGGTCACGGCCTTGGACAGCTTGAACATGAGCGGCGCGGTCTGCGCGCCCGTCAGCACGGGCGTGGCGAAGAAGTGCATGTCCTTGGACTTCGTCGGCGCCATCGAGGGCGTCTCGGCGCCGTCCGCGGCGCCGACCTTCTCGGCCGCGCGCGGCGTCTCGCCGTCGTCCTTGGCGGGGACGCCGTCGCCCTCCGAAGGTTGCAGCGCGCGGAACGACTCGCCGGCGGGCACGGGCACGCCCAACGCGCCGAAGAGCACCTGCGCGAGCTCGAGCGCGCCGATCTTCCAGTCGCCCGCGGTAGCCAGGCCCGCGGCCGCCGAGAACGCCGGGCACATGCGCAGGGCGAGCTCGAAGTTCGGCAGCACGCCGACGGCGATGGCCACCTGCTCGAAGAGTTCCAGACCCGCCAGCAGATTCCCGCCGATGAACGGCACCCACGTCCAGTAGAAGTTGAGGTACAGATGCGCGTCGCTTTTGAGCAACGCCTCGAACTCGACCATCTCGACGAAGCCGCCGCCGTCGTCGAAGGTCGGGATGCGCGCCTTGATGTGGTCGCCGAGCTCGTTCATGTCGTCGGACGCGTCGGAGATGAGGTCGCTCAGCTCCCAGAGCTCCAGTTGCCCGTCCGCGTCCTTGTCGCAGAGCGCGAAGATGAACGACATCTGCTCCTCGAAGGAGCCCACGAGCTTCGACAGCGCCCGCGCGAATTCCGGGAAGTAGATCTTGTTGTTGCTGTTGACGTCGAAGACGCGGAGCATGTCCGTGAGCACGCGCCCGTTTTCGAGCGACGGGAAGCGCGCGAGCAGCATGTCCTTGAGCCGGTCGCAGGTGAGGTAGGGCCCGTCCTTGCCCGAGCGGTCCGACGCGTCCGCGAACTCCAATCGTAAATTGTGCAGGTCCTCGTAGCCGAAGTCGACCTCGGACACGAGGCGCGCCATCGTCGTCGAGGACGCGACGGCCCGGACGCGGCCGTCGTGCTTCTTGCGCACCTTCTCGAGGTCGTACTTGGCCGAGTTGTTGTGCGTCGCGTCCGCCGTGGCGATGGCGACGCCCAGCTTCTTGTTCGCCTGCTGCGCGCGGCCCGAGCCGTACTTGCGCCGCGCGCGCGCGTGCGCCTCCTTGGAGTGGGCCGCGTCGAGCGTGACGGGCTTGCGGTACTTGCCGAGCGTGCCCGTCGCGCTGTGGGCCAGGGCCGCCAGCAGCCCGCCCTTGGACTCGCGCTTGCCCCACTCGACGAAGCCCTCGGAATCGAGCCGGCCGTTTTTCGCGTGGGACGCCAACGATTCCGTCAAAGCGCCAAGGGCGTCGTCCGTGAGGGGCTGGCGCAGGTAGCGCATGTGGCGCAGCGTCGCCGTGAAGAGCGCGACGACGTCGGAGACCTCCGCCGTCGGCACGGACATCTTGTTCTTCGCGTCCAACGCTTGAAAGATCATCTGGAGCCGGCTCGTCAACGAGTCGCGGCACAGCAGCGCGAGCATGATGAGCGCGGGCCGCGCCGCCGCGCCGCTCGCCGCGCCGTCCGGGAAGGCGGCCTGCAAGGCCTTCATGCAGCTCAGCGGCAGCTGGAGCACGGCGCCGTCGGCGCCGTGCTCCGTGGGGTCGTTGAAGACGTGGATCCAGAGGGGCCGGCCGATGCGGATCGGCGGCGCGCCGCCGTGGTTGAAGGGGCCCGCCGTGAAGTGGAGCTCGCAGTCGTCGCCCGCGGCGACGGCCGCGGCTATCGCGTCCCTCACCATGGACGCGGACTTGGGGATCTTGCCGCAGACCGTGCTCAGGAGCCAGTCGGCCTCGACCTTCGCGTCCGAAGCCGGCGACCCGGCCTCGACGTGGCGCACCATGAGCATCTCGCCGTCCTGGAGCGCGGAGCTCGCGCGGCGCACGGACTGGCGGTCCATCTTGCCCTCCGTCGCGATCCTCGCGACGCCGCTGAGGAACGGCTCGACGACGAGGCCGAAGGGCGGCGCGTTGGCGTCGTCGACGAACCGGTCCTTGGTGAAAATTACCCGGATCGTCCCGTCCATGTCGACGTCCTTGTGCTCGCGCAGGCTCAGGTACTTCTCGAGGCAGAGCTCGACGCTCGACGTCGGCCAGCCACCGTACGCACCGCTGTCCGGGAACACGGCGTCCTCCTTGGCGACCATGATGCCCGACGCCGCGCCCATGCTGAAAGGCGCGGCGCCGGCAACGCGGCAGCCCGACGGCGGAGCAGGCTATGGAGCAGGCGACGACGAGGCTGAAACGACGGAGGATTCGCAGCACCAACAGGTGAAGTCTGCACGATCATGTTCAATAATTTGGAGCCTTCATCAGCCAACTTGCGCCGCTATATAAATTTATATGATGGAACGAAGGCAGCGAAGCTAGGTGCACATGCCCGACGACGCGACCCTGCCGCCGCGGGGCGGCGCGGCCATCCTGCCGCCGCTCACGAACGAACCGCGCTGGGACCCGCAGCCCGTGCCGTCGCCGGCCGTCTACGTCGGGCAGCCCCCGGGCGGCGGCGTGGCGGCGGCCGCCGACGCCGTGCTCGAAGCGCTCGAGGGCAGCGTGCGGGCCCTCGAGGCCCTCGCGGACGTCAGCGACGACGCCGCGGCGGCGCTGCGCGCCGCCCGCGCGCGCTCGCTCGCCGAGCGGCTCGCGGCGGCCGCCGCGCGGACCGACGCGCGCGCGGCCGCCGCGTTCGCGCCCCGGTTGCCGGGCATGTACCCCGCGTACCCCGACCACGACGCGGACGGCGCCGAGCGCGCCGACGCCCCGGCGAGCGACGGCGCCGCCGCCTCGGAGACCAAGGCCGCGGAGGCCGACGCGGCGGCGGTCCCGGAGGCGAAGACGCCGAAGACGCCCAAGGGCAAGGGCCGCGTCGTCCCCGTGGACTCGTCGCCGAAGAAGACGCCGCCGTCGACGCCCAACGGGACCTGGCGGTCCGCGGCCGTCGTCACGTCGAGCCGGCGCGTGCAGCGGCGGAAGCGGCACCGCGAGCGGCTCAAGGAGCGGTACCAGTCCATCGACACGAACGGCGACGGCGAGATCACGCGCGACGAGTTCACGGACGCCATGTGCCACGGCGGGCTGACGAAGCGCGAGGCGCGGCGCGTCTTCTCCGAGCGCGACGAGAACGGCGACGGCACAATGGACCAGTCCGAGTTCATCTCCCTGCTGGAGTCGAAGCACCCGATCCTCATGCGCATCGCCTGGGTGCGCGAACTGGAGAAGGGCTTCCACGACGGCGAGGACGACGAGAAGATCGCGGCGCTGGACGTGGACGCGGGCCGGCGGCCCGTCTTCATGCTGTCGCCCAACGACCGGAGCCGCGTGAGCTGGGACTGCGTGACGGCCTGCCTCCTGGTCTACGTGGCCATCATCGAGCCCATGCGCCTGGGGTTCGACATCGACCCGGCGCCCTGGTCCTTCGTCTTCGTGCTGGACTGGATCTGCGACGTCTTCTTCATCGCGGACTTTCTGCTCAACTTCCGGACGGGCTACGTCCGCGACACGGGCGACGTCGACCTGGACCCGAAGCGGTCGGCGTTGTATTATCTGCAGACCTGGGCGCTCCTGGACTTCGTGTCGACGATCCCGCCGCTGCTCGAGTTCTTCGCGGGCAGCGGCATGCGCGCGCTGCGGTCCGCGAAGGTGCTAAAGCTCGCGCGCATCGGCAAGATCGGCCGCATGCTGAAGATGTCGAAGATCTTCCGGCTGGCCAAGGCGCTCAAGTTCGGCGAGAAGTTCCGCAACTCGCCCATGGGCGACTTCCTCGAGGACTTCTTCGCGTCGAGCCAGACCAAGGCCATGCAGCGCATCTTGTACGTGCTCGTCAAGTTCGGGTTCCTGGCCCACTACCTGGGCTGCTTCTTCTCCGTCGCCGGCGAGTCGCACCTGCGCGAATACGCGCCGGGCAACGCCAAGGCCGGCGGCAAGGGCGCGGACGAGTGGAGCCTGAGGGCGAGGTACCTCGCGTCGTTCTACTGGGCCGTGACGACGATGACGACCGTGGGCTACGGCGACATCACGCCCGTCACGGACCGGGAGCGCGTCACGGCCGTCGTCGCCATGGTCGTCGGCGGCTTCTCCTTCGCCTACATCGTCGCCCAGATGACGGTCATCGTGCGAGCGTACGACGCGCACATGGAGCCCTACCAGCAGAAGATGGACCGCGTCTACGCCTGGCTGAGCTACTACGACGTGCCGCCGGCCGTGCGGCGGCACGTGCGCCGCTACTACCGCACCTACTTCGCGCACCGGACCGCCTTCGACGAGCGGTCCATCGTCGAGGACCTCGACCCCGATTCGCAGAAGCTGGTGGCGGACTACGTGCTGCCGTCCTGCGTGCGCCACAACGACCTCTTCGCGCCGCTGCCGCGGGGCGCGATCTGCAAGATTCTGCACTTCATGCGCTGGATGAAGTTCGAGCCGGAGGCGCGCGTCGTCGGCGAGGGCGACAAGTGCTCGACGATGTTCATCATCTACACGGGCAAGTGCTGGATCTCGCGGTCCCGGGGCACGAAGACCATGGCCCACCCGGGCGAGTCCTTTGGGGAGAAGGCCGTGCTCGGCGTGTCGTCGTGGTCCGAGCTCACGGCGACGGCGCTCACGCCGCTCGAGGTCATCGCGCTCACGCAGAACGACTTCATGCAGGCCTTCGTCACGCTGCCGGAGGCGCTCGTCGCCATGCGCCACGGCATCTCCGCGGACCTGGGCCTCGCGGCGCCCATGCCGACGACCTTCACGCACCTCACGGACGCGCGGCGCGAGGTCGACGTCGACAAGGCCGCGCTGAGCCCGACGCCGCCCGAGCCGCGGCGCGTGCTCGACGGCTAGGGTGCGCGCTACTCGAAGCGCGAGGCCGTTGGCCTGCAGCGCAGCATGCTCCGCATCTCGAGGCGGGGCGGCTCTCTTTTTAAAAGGGGGTATCGTCCGCGCGTCCTCAGGGCCCGCCGGGCGTCGCGGGCGCGCCGCCCGCGGGCGGCACGGCCGGCGGCTCGGAGTGGGGCGGCAGGCCCCGCGGCGGCGGGAAGCCGGGCATGCCCTGCATCATGGCCATCATCGCGTGGGGCGGCATGCCGGGCGGCATGAGCGGCGGCGCGCCCGGCGGGAAGCCGCCGGGATTCGGGTGGCGCGCCTGCTGCATCATGAAGGCCGCGGCCTGGGCGGGGCTGATGGGCGGCGCGCCGGGGGGCATGGCCGGCGCCCCCGGCGGCGGCCGCGCGGCCGCGGCGCCCGCGAGGAGCTCCATCATGGCCCGCGGGTCCATGGGAGGCGGGCCGGGCGCCATGGGCGCCATGCCCGGCGTCGCCGGCGCCGCCGGCGGCGGCGTCGCCGCAGTAGCGCCGCCGGGCGGCACGGCGCTACCCTGGGGCGCGGGGCTCGCCGCCGCGGGCGGGGGCTTGTCGTCGCCGAGCGTCTGCACGGACTCGTAGAGCGCGAGCTTGAGGGCCGCGTTCTCCGCCTGGAAGCGGTCGATCTGGTTCGTCGACTCCGCCGGCATCTCGGAGTTGAGCATCTGGCGCAGCAGCTCGTTCTGCTCCCGCAGCTCCGTGTTCTCGCGCGTCAGGAAGACGACGGACCGCTGGAGCTCCTCGATGCGCAGCTTCTTTCTACGGCGCGACTCCTGCGCGGCCTTGCGGTTGAGCTCGAGCCGCTTCTTCCGCTTCGACTCGAACTCGTCCTGCGCCGTGGTCCCCGTCTCGCCGGCGGCCTTTGGGACCTGAGACGCGGCGGACGGGTTCTTCTTCGAGAAGCGAAACGCCGGCGGCGGCCGCGCGCGCGCGCCGGGCGGCGAAGGGCGGGAGGGACGCGGGGCGACGCACGTCCGCGTCCTCCTCCTCCTCCTCCTCGTCCTGGTCGTTCGAGGCCGAGTCCCCCTCCTCGACCTTGGCTTCGCGTTCGGCTGCCCCGTCGTCCATGCTTGCCATGGTCCTTTTTTTTACGGCGTCGCGGCGCTTGGACCGCCGCGGGTCGACGAGCACGCGCGTCGACGAGCGCGCGCGCGGATGCGGGCGCCGCGGGCAGCGAGTCGGGTCGCGGCCGGGTTCGAACGGCGGCGGCGTCCGAGCCGGCGGCGTCACCCAGGTGGTCGTGAACTCAGGCGTCACTTGGGTGAGTGCAGGATCGGATCAACTTTTTCCTTGAATCGATCGCTTGAACTTTCTCTAATAAAATTATCGCGGGGCCTGCGCCCGGAGCGGCGGCGGGTCGCAGTCCGGCGTCGCGAGGGGCGCGGGGATGCCGTGGACCGCGGCCGCGGCGCCGTCCGACGCCCCGGGCGCGTAGGGCACCTGGACGTAGCCGCCGGCGCAGACCTCGACGACGAGAAATTTGAGGACCTTGGCCTTGGCGAGCGCGGCCGCGCGCCACGCCGCGGCCGCGTCGGCGTCGTCGCCGGCGCCCGCGAGCCGCGCTTCGACGATGGCCGCGGCCGCGAGGTCCACGGCCGTCGCCGGCCCGTCGGCCGCGTAGGACCCGTCGGCGCGCGGCCTCTCGAGCGCGAGCCGGACGTCGACGGAGCCCGGCCGCGCGCCCGCGCGGCGGAGCGCGCAGCCCAGGCGGCACTCGGCGCAGCCCGTCTGGACGCAGTCCGGCGCGCGCTCGCCGCGCAGGGGCCACTCGCGGCCGAAGAAGTACGCGTCCGCCGCGCCGCGCGACAGGAGCGCCCAGTTGTCGTCGAGGCACGCGCCCGTGCGGTCAAAGTCCGCGGGCACGCCGCGCCCGCAGGTCGCGCCGCCGAGGTAGGCCGCCCAGGCGACGGCGGCCCCGGGCGCGAGGTCCGGGAAATTCGAGTAACGGGCCAGCGCCTGACCGTACGTCGCGTCCGGCCGGAGCCGCAGGACCCACGCGTAGGCCCGCCGCCGCGCCCGCTCCCGGCCCGCGATGGCGCCGAAGCAGGCCGCGAGCGACTCCTCGAGGCCCGCGCTCTCCAGGGCGACGTCGTAGACCGGCCGCCAGAGCGCGCGCGCTTCCCTTGCGAGCGCGGCCGCGGCGGCCGCGTCGACGACGCCGCCCGTGCGCCCGCGCGTCGACGCGTCGAGCACGAAGAAGACGTCGGCCTCCTCGACGATGGGCCAGACCATGTGGCTCCAGGCGTTGCGCTGCACGCGCGGCACGGCGTAGAAGGCGCGCGCGAGGCCCGACACGCAGACGGCGACGGGCTTCTTCGGCGCGTGGACGAGGCTCGCGCCGCCCGTCGGGTCCTTTTTCTTCGCGTCGTGCGGCGCAGAGTCCTTTTGTTTCGAGGCCGCGGCGACGGCCAGCAAAAGCGCTGCCCAGCATCTCATTATTGCGTGCACATAGTGGACAGAGGGCTAATGTTGTCCTGCACCAAAACGAAGAGCACCGATGTGGGAGCCAAAGGATAGAGCACCGATCGAGGCATGATCGTGCGCGCCTTGCGTACTGGGCGCCCAGCAAGCACCATGCTCGCATCCGCGCTCCACCGCAGCCCTACGCTCGCCGCGCCGCGCCGAGCGATCCCAACGCTCGCACCCGCGCTCCGCCGCGGCGTTCCGCTCGCGCGGCGCCTGCAGTCGGACGCGAGCGCCGAGCGGCGGGCCTCCGTCGACTTCCTGCGCGAGCGCAGCGCCGACGCCGGCCTGCGGCTGAGCCGCGGCGAGATCGAGCACATCGTCAACCAGGCCTCGACGGAGGGGACGCTCGCGGCGAGCGAGTGGGAGGCGGTCGTGAGCCGGCGGGCGCGCGCGCGCACGGAGCGCGTGACGCTCGAGGGCTACCTCGCGCAGTCGCACGACCTGCACCTGGGCCAGGCCTTGCTGCGGCGCACGGCGAAGCTCGGCGTCGCGTTCTTCGCGGTGACGGGCGCGCACGCGGCGGGCGCGTGCGGCATGCACGTCGTCGGCGCGTCGTTGGTCGGGTGCGCGACGGCGCTGGGCGGCGGCACGTTCAACAACCTCGTCGCCGGGTCCGCGCCCGTGGGCTGGGCGCGGGACCCGTCGTTCCTGCGCGTCGCCGTGGTCGGGTCGCTGCTCGGGTTCTACGTCTGGCCGCTGGCGGAAAAGGCTCTCTCGGAGACGGCGCGCGAGACGGAGGCGACGGCGAAACGGGCCATGGAGAACGCGCGCTACGCCCTCGAGACGGGCGCGCTGGGCGCGCTGGCCGTCGTCGGCGCGCAGCAGGGCATCATCAAGGGCTTCCATCCCGTCGTCTGCTGCGCGCTCGGCGTCACCATCGCCTTCGGCGGCGTCCTGCGCGACCTCATGTGCGGCAAAGAGATCGCGCTCGGCTCCGCGTCGGGCTACCCGTCCTACGGCGTCGCGAGCCTCGCCGGCGCGGGCGTCTACGTGGCGCTGCGCGAGGTCCACGTCTGGAACTGCGCGGGGTCCTGCGCGCGCCTCGTCCACGGCGGCATCCCCATCTCCGCGCGCATCCTCGCGGGCTTCTCCGCCGCGTGCGCCGTCCGCGCCTACGCCTACCTCCACCCGGACGCGCCCCTGCTGTCCTCGATGGACACGGTCGCGGGCGACAACGCCGCGCGGCTGCGGGCCCTCCTCGGGCCGTCGGCGACGTAAATGAAGCCGAAGTTTGCCTCGGAGAGTCCCAGTCACGATGGAGGTCGTGGCTTTGCGCAGCCCCTAGGCGTTCGGAAGCGGCTCGCAGGTCGAAGACGACGCGCGGACCATCGATGGCCGGCGCGAAGCTGCGCGTCTCCTGCGTCGGCGACTCGATCACGCACGGCTACGGCGTCGACGTGCCGTCGAGGCAGGCCTACCCGGCCATTCTTCAGGGCCTGCTGGGCGACGGCTATGTGGTGCAAAACTTCGGCAGCGACCACAAGACCATGACCTTCTACACGAACCCGCTCGCGCCCAAGGTCTACGCGCGCGTCGGCCCGCGCCGCTCGTCCGCGGCGGCTCCGACCGCGCGTCCCCAGGTACGAACTGACGGCCGAGTACGCGGCGTCGCTCGACTCGGACCCGGACGTCGTCGTCCTCATGCTCGGCACGAACGACGCGCAGACCTACGCCGTGCCCAGCGCCGCGACGGACTTCTCCGGCGACGCCGCGCGCCACGTCGGCGCCTACAAGTCTCTGCCGTCGCGGCCCGCGGTGCTCCTGGCCGTGCCGCCGCCCATCTACCCGGGCAAGCTCGCGGTCTTCTTCAACGCGACGCGCGCGAACGTCGACTACCCGCGCCTCATCCCGTCCATCGCCGCGGAGACCGCCGCGGAGACCGTCGACGTCTTCGACGCGCTCGGCGGCGCGGACCTCGCGGCGCCGGAGCTCATCTCGCGCGACGGCATCCACCCGACGGCGGACGGCTACGCGGCCATCGCCGCGGCCGTGGCGCGGGGCGTGCGCTGCGCCGTCGACGGGCCCTGCGAGGCCGCGCCGCCCGCGGCGAGGCGGGCGCCGCCGCGCGCCGCGCGGCCCTGGCGCGCGGCCGCGGCCGCGCCCGTCGCCGTCGCCTGCTGGCGTTATCTGCGGCGCCGGCGGCGCGACCGCCACCTCCCCCACGACGCGAAGCAGGCGGTCTAAGGCGAGGGGAGGGCGGGGCGGCGGCGCCTAGTCGGCGCTCGGCGGCGGCGGCGGCGGGACCTTGGACGCGCCGGCCTTGATGAGGTCGTGGTCGAGGAAGCGGGCCGAGATCTCCCCGCCGAAGGTCGAGGCGATGATGTTGGGGATGGCGTCGGCCTTGATCGGCGTCGCGCGCGCGCCGCCGTAGACGCCCGCGTGGAGCGCGGCCGTGAGCTTTTCTTTCTTCTCCGGCGGCGCGTTCTTCGAGATGAAGTAGGCGACGACGTTGTCGAATCCCGCGCGCGTCGGCGGCGGGAAGGCGTGGAAGGCGACGGCGAGGAAGTCCCAGGCCTTGGTCTGGACGTCGCCCGCCGCGGCGCCCGAGAGCTGCTTCATCAATTGGCAGTAGAGCTCGAGGCGCAGCGGGTGGGGCGCGGGGTCGTTCAAAGCCGTCTCCAGGGCCTCGGCGCAGAGCGTCTCCGGGTAGGGGTGCTTCGTGCAGCCCATGAAGCCCAGGAGCCCCTTGAAGAGGTTCACGGCCTTCTTGTCGAACTTCTTCTTCTCCGCGTAGTCCGCCGGCGGCTCCGTGAGCGCCAAATGGATGGGCCGCGAGTCGTAGACCAAAAACCCCTCGGCCAACGACGCCCGCGTCGCCGCGGACGAAAAAAACGACTTCCGCGACGCCCAGTCGGACGCGTCGCGGAGCGCGGCGACCTTTTCGAAAGAAAAGGACGCGCCGAACGTCTCCAGCATCAACGCCTTGAGCTTGATCTCCCGGTTGACGACGCGGTCCGGGTCGTCCGTGGCCTTGGCGCGCTTGAGCTGCTCCTTGATGAGCTTGTCCGCGGGCATGGCGAGGTACTTCTTGATCTCGAGCACGTCCTCGTTCTCGTAGCACGCGTTGGCCGCGTCTTCCGCCACGGTCCGCATCAAGTCCTCGTCCAGGATCGCCGCGGCCTCCTTGGCGATGGGGTCGATCTTTTTCTTGGCCAACGTGAGGAGCTTCTCGCGCACCTTCTTTTCGAGCGCCATCTGCTCGGGCGTGCCCGGCACGTCCTTTATTTTGTCCGCGCGGCGGACGCCGTCCGCGAGGTCCTGGTACGACGGGTTCGACGCCGCGGCGAGCTTCTTGAAGAGCGGGTCGAGATCCAAGCGCTCCTGGAGCGCGAAGCGGCGGTCCTTGGCCAGGGCGAGCTCGTGGGGCGTGTGGGGGTAGACGGACATGTGCGGCCCGAGCGCCGCCCGCGCGGCGTCGACCGCGCGGTCCAGCGCCTTCGCGTCGTTGGCCCGGGGCGACGCGAGCAAGGTTTTGAGATCGGCCTTGACGCGCTTGAGCACGGCGAGGTAGCGCCGGCCCATGCCCGCGCGCGCGCCGCGCTGCGCCTTGGGGACCAATTTCTCGAGCGCCAAATTCCGCAGCAGCTCCAACACGCGATGCTCCGGCGACCGGTAGAGCACCATCGTCGCGCCCATCTTCACGGCGCCAAAGTCCTGGTTGAGATTCTTCAGCAGCGCCCGGCACTTGTCGCGGTCGCTGCCGTCGCCCAACGAGTGCGCGGCGACCAAGGGGCGGTACCGCGCGGCGAAGCGGCGGTGCGGCAGGCGGAACGGGTAGCCCGACTTGCGGATCTTGACGGCCTCGAAGACGCCCGCGTAGGTCATCTGCTCGATGGAGCTCTTGGCGTCGAAGAGGCGCGCCTTTTTTTGCTGGTTTGGTTTCACGCACCTCACGTAGCACGGGTCCGCGGCGTCGACGATCTTCATGAGCGCGCTCAGCTGCTTGCGGAACTGGCCCGCGATGGTCGGCTGGCGCCGCGGGTTGCGCCCGAGGTCGGGGAAGAGCTCCTTGCCCACGAGGGGGAACGCGGGCGCCTTCAGCGAGAGCAGGTCGTACAAGTTCCGGCCCAGGGGGTCCTTGTTCTTCTCGCAGAAGCCGACGATGTGGTAGGTCACGGCGCCCGCGTAGTGGCGCACGGTGAAGAACTCCTCGTCGCCCTTCTGCTTGACGCCGCGGCCCCGCGAGCCCTTGTGCTTCTCCGAGACGTCGACCCACTCTTTTTTGGCCGCGTGCGACTTCTCGCAGCGCGCCATCCACTTCGCGTCGGACCCCTGGGGCGCGTTGACGACGTCGTCCAGCGCCAGCAGCAGGCCGTCGGGCTTTTTCTCGATGAGGTCGAGGACGGGCTGGTTGTCGATGAAGGGCACGGGCTCGAAGTCGATGCCCTCGGACCGGTACAAGTTTTCTTCCTCCTTGAACGTGTGGCGGTTGAAGTGCTGCTGGAGCTTCTCGTTGGTATAATTGATGCAGAGCTGCTCGAAGGAGTTCGACTCGAAGATCTCGAAGCCGAAGATGTCCAAGACGCCGATGAACTTGCCGCCCGCGGCGCCGCCCTGGGCGACGGCGACGTTGATGCGCTTCACGAGCCAGTCGAAGAGGCGGCCGTAGGCCGCCTTGGCGAGGGCCCGCGCGCCGGCCTTGGCCGCGGCGGGGGCGCAGGGGCTCAGCGTCCGCGTGCCCCGCACCTCGATGGCCGTGCAGACCAAAGCCTCCGATAGATCAGAAGCGGCGCAGCCCAGCAGCCCCGCGGCGTCCTCGGCGACGTCCCCGTTGGCGACCGCGGACCCGTCGCCCGCCGGCGCGAACTCGATATCTCCGACGCGCAGGCAGCCCGCCGTCAGCGAGAAGAGCGCGGCGACCTCCGCGTCGTCGAACGCGAGCTGCTCGAGCGCCGACTCGACGTCGCGGAAATCCGCCGCGTCGTCGACGCCGGCCGCCTTGTCCGCGGACCCGAGGCTCAGGAAGCCGTGGGCGGCGGACGTGCCCGCGACGCCGGAAGACGCGTGGCGGCCGCTGAGGCCGAGCTGGTAGAAGACGTGGTAGGACCGCTCGTCCTTGGCCTGGCCGCAGACGCGCGACTTCTCGAGGAGGTAGTTCTCGACGCGGGCCGACGCGATGGCGCCCCGGTTGTCGAAGTGGACCTCCATCCAGCGGCCGAAGCGGCTCGAGTTGTTGTTGCGGACCGTCTTCGCGTTGCCGAACGCTTCCAAGACCGGGTTCGCGGACAGGACGCGCTGCTCCACGTTGTTCGTCGACCCGGCGACCTCCGCGAGAAACGACAGGCACTGCTTCGTCGCCTCCGTCTTGCCCGCGCCGGACTCGCCGGAAATCAGGATCGCCTGGTTCTCCGCGTCGACGCGCAGCCGGAGGTACGCGCCGTTCGCGACCGCGAACGGGTGCGGCGGCAGCAGCCGGTTCGGCGCGGGCTCGGCGAACTCGCGCATGAGGTTCACGCCGTAGATGGGCAGCCGCTTGAAGGGGTTGATGGACACCAGGACCGTGTGGGACGCGCCGACCCACCTGCGTGGAAATCAACCAGTGGAACGCCCTGTCCAGCAAAAACTTCAAACCTCTCTAGCTCGGCCAAATCGAAGTCGATTCGGCTGATTTTTGGACGAATCGATCGCTCTCGTCGATCTCGAAGCAGAGCCGAAGAGTCTGATCCAAACCGTTCGATTACGCGCACATTGAAGTCGGGTTGAAGGTTTGATTTCCACACAGCGACCCGCGTGTAGATGTCGTCGCTCTTGTAGCGCTCCTTGAGGTCGTGGACCATGGCCGCCTGGTTTAACGAATCGAGCATGACCAAATCGTCCTCGAGGCGGCCCAGCGAGCTCAGCGTCAGGGGCCAGAGCGGCTGGTTGTCCGACTGCTTGAGCGTGAGGCCCTTGCCCGAGTCGCGCATCTGGACCTTGACGGTGCCCTGGCCGAGCTTTGAGACGACGCGCGCGGGCAGCCAGGCCTCGGCGTCGTCGCGCACCCAGACCCAGGAGCCGCTCTCCGTCTTGAGCTCGTCGGCGCTCTTGAGCTCGTCGGGCTTGTCGTACGTGACCTTTTCGAGCGCCGCGTTGTGGTAGTAGGCCACGCCGTCGACCGTGACCTTCTCCACCCAGTGCGCGTTCGCCGACGCGCGCGCCATGGCCCGCCCGGAGACGCGGCGCTTGCCCGTGTACTGGCAGTTGCCCGCGTCGCCGACCTTGAGCGCGTCGAGCGACGACCGGCGCCGCGGCGGGTGCGCGGCCTTGGCGGCCGGCGGCGGCGGCGGCGCGGCCTTTTTTGCGGGCACGGGCGGCGGCGGCGGCTTGCTCTTGGGCTTGACGCGCGCCTTGAGGGCCGGCAGGTCGTCGATCCCTTCCCAGTCGCCCTGGCCGTCGCACCAGACGAGGGTCTCCATGGTGATGTCATTCGACTTGAGCAGGCCCTTGAGGCCGTCGACGTCCACGGGGCCCGCCTGCCCGCCCGCGCCGTCGACGTAGTACCACTGCTCGGCCATGGCGCCGTGCCCGCGCGCCTGCGTTACCACCGACCACCACCACACCTCGAGAATGGGCTGCCCCCCCGGGGACTCAAACATTTAGAAACCACAGCAAGGTGCCTCTCTTTATAAAACGCCGAGCAGAGGTGGACACACGATGGAGGAGGAAGGGCGCCCGCGGGTGGACACCATGGACGCCTTCGCGGCGGAGATGGACAAGCTCTGCAACATCGACAAGCTCGACGCCCGGATCCAGCAGGAGATGGACCGGTGCGCCGAGAACAGCTCCGACGCGCCGCCGCCGCCGCCGCCCGGCGCCGTCCGCGCGCGGAGCGAGTCGCCGGGCCTGTCCCCGCGGAGCCCGTCCTTCGCCGGGCGGCGCCTGAGCGAGATGACGGAGGACGACGAGGGCCTCGTCTTCCTGGACCCGACGAGCGACCTGTCCCTGGACGAGCAATTAGCGTTCGCCGACGAGTTCCTCCCCGGCCACCGCGCGCGGCGGCGGAGCGGCGCGCGCGGGGGCGGCGACGCGGCGGACTCGCCGCGCGGCGACGCGGCGCTGCTGGGCCGGTCCATCGACGACCTGATCGCGGAGACGGACCCGGAGAAGCAGCGGCGCGTGCTCGAGGCGCTCGGGAGGCGCCGGGCCGCGGTCGCGGCGTCCCGGGAGGAGACGCGCGAGACGCTCGCCGCGCTGCGGCGCGAACTGGAGCGCGGCGACGTCGAGGCGGAGATCGACCAGCAGGAGGCCGAGGCCGCGGCGCTCGAGGCGCTCGTGGCGCTCCGCGCGTCCGAGGCGGCCGCCGCGCGGCGGTGCCGCGACGACGCCATCGGCGAGACCTACCTCCTGCGCCACCGCGTCGCCGACGAGGAGCGCGAGGCGACGGAGACCCGCGCGGCCGACGAGGCCCGGGTGGCCAAGGAATTGGAGCTCGCGACGATGGACCTCGAGCGGCTCGAGGCCGAGTCCGCGAAGCTCGACGCGGAGTGCGAGGCCCTCCAGCGCAACGAGGTGGACCTCAAGCTCGACCTCGCCATCGCCTCCGAGCGCGCCGAGGAGATCAAGGACCAGCTCGCCGCCGCGCGCGCCTACAGCCAGAAGCTCAAGGACCAGCTCATGCACCGCGGCGTCATGCCCTGCACGTCGCCGGGGCCCGCGGGCCACGGCGCCCGGGCGACGTCCTTCAACGCGCTGCTCACGAGGTTCCGCGTCATGGGCGGCAACGGCCACTAACGCAACGTCTCGTTCGAGTCGGAAAGTTAGGCAGCCCGCGCGCGCTTTGGGTTTCTTCTCCGGACGAGCGGGCGCGGGGTGGTCGGCGCCTCGGCATCCGTGTCATACGCGTCCGTCTCGACGCCGTCTTGCCCGGACTGCGCCGCGGTGGCGATTTCCAACTCCCGCAGCACGAGTTTCGCCGCCGTCCCGAGCTGCGGCACGACATCGCGCTCTGCGCGAGAGGCAACCAGTGCATCCTCGCGCTCCTTTGCGGCCCTTTGAGCTCGATCCAGCCGCACGCGGAGCGCGTGGCGCGGTGGCGTCCAGAGGGAGCCATGTTCTTTGGACTTGTTGAAGGTCAGTCTGATGTGCTTCAGCTGCGCGTCGAGGCGCGCGAACGAGGCATTATTCTGCGTAAGCAGGGCGAAAATCTCCTCCTTGCGCTCCGGGTCGAAGCCAGTCTCTTCGAGCTGCAACAAGAGATTATAACCGTACTTGCCCTCGCCGTACATCGCAATAGCTTCGGACAGCTCCGGATCCATGTGCATCTAGATCTGGCTGCTCCATGGGCTGCTCCAGATGGCTGCTCCTTCGATTGGCAAAGCAAACTTGCCGGCATCATTGGCCGAACGGCGCTGCGGCATGGGAGTTTAGGCGGAGCTAACCATGGCCGACGAGGGCAAGTACGACGAGAGCGCCTACTACGACGAGGGCAAGTACGACGAGACCCAGTACGACGCGGCGCAGCCCTACGACGCCGCCTACGACGACCAGTACTACGCCCAGCAGCAGCCCTACGACGAGTCGCAGCAGCCCTACGACGAGTCGCAGCAGCCCTACGACGAGTCGCAGCAGCCCTACGACGCGTCGCAGGCCTACGCCTACGACGAGCAGCAGCCCTACGCGCCGCAGCAGGCGTTCCCGCTCGGGTCCGCGGCGCCGCCGGGCTACGTCGGCTACTGGGACGAGACGCGCGGCGAGATGTACGCGTTCCACGAGGCCTCCGGCGAGTGCGCCTACGGCGTCGGCCCCGACGGCGACGTCTACGCGCTGGACTACCGGAGCGTCATGTGGTGCCCCGGGTCCGGCGAGGACGCGACGCTGGCGCTGCAGGCGTCCGCGGCCGAGCGGACCTCATCGAGCCAGGGGAGCCGGCGGCGGTCCGTCGCGGGCTCCGTGAAGACGCTGCGCTTGAAGGACGCGGCCGTCGTCGTCCAGGCGGCGCACCGCCGGTCGCTCGGCTGGGCCAAGGCCGCCGCGCGCGTCCGCAAGCAGTTCTGCCGCCGCTACGACTTCGAGAGCGGCTTCTACTACTACGAGCGCATCAAGGGCGGCGAGACGCAGTGGCACCGGCCCGCGGTGCTCCTGGGCACGCGGCGGCGGCGCGGCCTCGGCGCGACCCACGACGACGTCGCGCTCGTCGGCGACCAACCGGGCGGCGAGGTCGCCGAGTACGCGGGCGGCGACTGGGAGCTCGGCGGCGGCGAGCTCGGTGAGTACTACGCGCGCGGCGGCGGTGAGACCAAGGACAACTCGTGGATCCTGGAGGGGCCCTACTGCGCGCGGACGGGCCGGGGCAAGCGCACGGCGTTCGCGATCAACCGCCTGCCGCCGCAGTCGCAGACGCTCCGGGGGAAGAGCTCCGTGGACAAGGACACGCCGTTGTTCCTCGACAACACGGAGATCGACCCCCAGGAGTGGAGTTTGGGCGACGAGGTCCAGGTCTTCGACGGCATCGTGCTCAAGCGGGTCATGGTCGAGCCCTACATGCTCGCGCGCGGCGCGGTCGCCATCGGGCCGACGGAGGTCGTGCGGCTCATGCAGCGGTCCGCGCGGCGGCCCCAGGTGTTGTACTTTTGTTTGGTGGCCATCGCCAAGTTCGAGCTCCACGAGACGGAGATGGGCCTGTGCTCCGCGGACGCCAAGGCGTGTATCTTACAAACTTTGAAGGTGCTGAACAAGTACCCGAAGATCCCGGCCCTCGTCGGCCAGTGCCTCGGGAGTCTCGTTTCGTTGGCGGACAACTACGCGCACCGGTCCGTGATCCTCAAGGAGGAGTGGGCGCGTTTGGTCGTCTCCGCGGTGAACAACCTGACGACGGAGTCGCAGGAGGTCATCGTCCACCACGCCGACGGCAACGAGAAGGTCGTCGTGCGCACGGCGACGCGCCAGTCCTGCGACATCGCCGCCAACGGCTGCCGGCTCTTCGCGGTCTTCGCGTGCGACCCGAAATTGCGCGAGGAGTTCGCGGAGGACGCGATCAAGGTCTGCAACGTCGCCATGGACTTTTGCGACGAGGACGCGACGGTGCAGGCCGCGGCCTGCGACTGCTTGTACAACTACGTCTACCGCTGCGAGTTCGCCGCGGTCATCGCGGAGGACCTGGAGTGCCTCGACCGCGTCAAGGCCGCGCTGATCAACTTCCAGGGCGACCAGGACTTCGTGTCCCAGGCCGACCGCGCGGAGAAGGCGCTGAGCCCGGGAGGCTGGCGCGGGTAAGCCGCTTTTTAGTTCGGCGTCGCGCGGACGATGCGGTCCCACATGCGGCGGTAGACGCAGCCGATGACCGCGATGACCGGCAAAGCGACGACGTCGAGGAGGAGCGTCGTGCGCACGCTCAGGCCGTTGGCCGCGCGCGCGAGCAGGCCGATGCCGAAGTCGCCGCAGGCGACGTTGAAGTGGCCCGCGTCGAGCGACGCCACGATGGACGTCGCCACGGCCTTGGGATCGTGCGTCGGCTCGCCCTCCTCGATGGCCTTCGTCGACTTGGGCTTCGTGCGGTTCTCCTCGACGAAGCCCGGCGTGTCCATGTTCGGCGGGTAGACGCTGTGGACGGATATGTCGAAGGGCAGGAGCTCGGAGCGCAGCGTCTCCGCGAGGCCGCGCACGGCCCACTTCGTGGGGGCGTAGGCGGAGTACCCGGCGTAGCCGCAGAGCGCCAAACCCGACGACACGAGCACGGCCGTGCCGGCCTTCCGGTCGACCATGCCCGGCAGCGTCGCTTTCAGGGTTTTCACGACGCCGAGGTAGTTGAGGTCCATCTGCTTGGCGAAGTCGTCGGCGGAGACGTCGGAGAAGAGGCCCGTGCGCGCGCCGCCCGCGCAGCAGACGACGCAGGTCACGGGCCCGTGGGCCGCTTCCGCGTCTGCGACGGCGCTCTTCAAGCTCTCGGCGCTCGTCACGTCGCCGGCGACGGCGCGCACGGAGAGCTTTCGTTCGGCGAGCTCGGCGACGGCGGCGTCGAGCTTCTTAGCGGTCCGCGCGACGATGGACACCCTGGCGCCGCGCGACGCCATGAGCGCCGCGAGCTCCTTGCCGAGGCCCTCGGAGCCGCCCGTGACGAGCACGTGCGCGGACGCGCCGGGCGTCGCGCCGGCGAGCCACTTGGGCGCGGCGCGGGACGGCAGGAAGAGGACGGCGGCGGCGACGAGCGCGACGGCGCCGCAGGCGGCGGTCGTCAGCGCCATCGTCGGCGCCGCGGCCTCGGCGACGACCTCGGTCGCGGCCTTTTTCCAAGGCAGCGCGGATGCGGCGTCGACGAGCATGGCGGAGATGATCAAGCCCATTGCAACTGTGGCGAGCGGCTCAACGTTGACATCGAGCAGCCCGGGTGCAGCCCGACGAGAGGGTCATGGCTCAGCTCGAGCTGATCTCGGCGCACGTCCGCGCCTTGCGCGAAGGTGACGACGCATCGAAGATGGCGGCGGTGCGGGCGCTGCTCACGTTCGATGACGCTGACCTTAAACGCCTGGTTGATTTTGATTATCGACCCAGCGTCAGCCTCGCGATCGCCAAGGCCGGCGGCATCCCGCCGCTCGTCGAGCTGCTGCGCGACGGGAGCGCGGAGGCGAAACTGTCGGTCGTGTGGGTGCTGCACAGCCTCATGGAGTGCTACGACAACAGGGTCCTGATCGCCGAGGCCGGCGCCGTCCCGCCGCTCGTCGAGCTCCTGCGCAGCGGGAGCGCGGAGGCCAAAGACCACGCCGCGATGGCGCTGAGCGACCTCGTTTCCGGCAATCCACCAATCGAAGCCAACCAGGTCCTGATCGCCGCGACCGGCGCCGTCCCGCCGCTCGTCGAGCTCCTGCGCGGCGGGGGCGCGGACGAGAAACAGTCGGCCTCGTGGGCGCTGGGCAACCTCGCGCGCAACAACGCCGCCAACAAGGTCCTGATCGCCGAGGCCGGCGGCATCCCGCCGCTCGTCGCTCTCTTCCGCGACGGGGACGTGCAGATCGAAGAGGAGGTCCAGATCGTGCTGGAAAACCTCGCGTACGACAACGACGCCAACGCGGTCGCGATCGCGGTGGCCGTCGGCTTCGACGCGGTCGTCGAGCTCGCGCGGCGCGGCCGCGTGGCCGTCGACGGGGCGCTGGTCCTGTCCTACTACACGCATGGACGCGTTCCCGCCAAGGCCGCGCTCGTCGTCGCCGCGCTGATCGGCGACTGCGTCCCGGTGGACTCGGTCCCGCGCGTCATCAAGGACATCATCATCACATATCTTTAAGACCAAAAACCCGCTGTAGATTATTCGCATTCCCCTAGGACACGGCGCAGCTCGAGGAGGACTTGCCGGACCGCTTCCCCGGCCGCGCGGCGGCGGCGGGCGCGGGCGCAGGCGCGGGCGGCGGCGGCGGGAGCGCGGCGGCCGGCGGCGCGCGGCGCTGGTTCTCCTCGCGCTGGAGCCGCTCGGCCAAGGCGCCGTCGTCCTCGGCGTCGTCGAACTGCAAGGCCAGCGCCGCGCGGTAGTCCGCGTCCTCCTGCGACCGCTTCTCCTCGGACGTCGCGTCGGGCGCGACCTCGACCGCGGCGGCGACGGGCGCCGCGGGCCCGCCGTCGTCGCGGAGCGACAGCTCCAGCGCCGCGGCGAGGAGCGCCGCGTCGCCGTCGTCGTCGCGCGGCGCGGGCGCGGCCGCGGCCGCGAGCGGCTCGAGGCGCCGCGGCGGCCGCGCGTCGCCGCCCTCCACCAGGGCCCGCGCGGCGCTCTCGTCGCTCTCCTGCTGGAGCTGCAGCGCCACGAGGTAGTCCGCGTCGGCGTCGGCGCCGTCGGTTTGCCGCGTCGACGGCGCGAGCGTGCTCTTGGGCCGCGCGACGCGGAATTCGCCGTCGACGAATTCCGTGTCGCCGTCGACGCCGTCGAGCTTCTCCCAGACGATGGACGCCTCGTGCTGGTAGCCCACGTCCGTCACGAGGACGTAGATGTGGCCCTCGTACTTGAAGATCGTCGAGAAGTGGAAGTTGCGGTACAACGCGGCGAGCTGCCGCTCCTTGAGGCGGCCGTGCAATTCCACCAACCCGAAATACGTCAACTGCGTCGCCGACCGGCTCAAAAAGTCGTCCATGGCCGCCGCCTCCGCGTCGTCGTTTCCCGCCCGCCCTTCGACGACCCTCGCGATGACCTCGTTGTAGGACTTGGCGCCCAGCGCCGCGTGCGCCGCGCCGCCGTCCGCCGGGTCGGACGGGTCCGCGCGCCAGCCGTGGACCAGCGCGAGGTCGAAGAGGTCGAAGATGCCCAGGCAGCCCGTGAACTCGAAGAGGGAGTCGCCGGCGAAGCGCACGTTCACGTCCAGCCCGCCCGCGAGCGTCGGCAGCAGCGCGATGGCCTCCTCGACGGCGCGCCGCGTGTTCAGCGCCGCCTCGCCGTCGCCGCCCGCCGCTTTACTGTTGCGCTCGAGGATCTGGTCGCCGACGAGGGCGACGACGTCCGCGAGGGACACGGACCCCAGGTCGGGAGACAGCTCCAGCGCGTTCTGCAGCAGGAGCGCGTTGACGACGGAGAGCAGGGCGCAGGGGCCGAACTCGTTCTGGCCGAGGACGGGCACGGTGCGGCCCAGGAACATCACGGTCTTGAGCGGGAAGCGCTGCTCCATGTCGGCGTCGGAGGGCGCCATGCTCGGATCCTCTGTGGCAATTAATACAGCGATTGTTGCCCTTTCTCAAACCGACATGGAGGCCCTCCGCGCCTAAGACCGGGCCTTCGGCGCCGCGCGCAGCGTAAAACCCATGGCCGCGGCGCCGCGCGCCGCGCCGACGGGGACGCCGACGGACGAGGCGGAGGTGCCGCACGACATCGGCAGCGGCTACGTCATCGAGCGCAAGCTGGGCATCGGGTCCTACGCCACGGTGTGGCTCGCGCGCACGACGGCGTCGGAGACGGCCCAGAGCACGGTCGTCGCCGTCAAGGCCATCGAGCGGTCGCGGCTGACGAAGAAGCTCCAGGAGAACCTCGAGAGCGAGATCGCGATCCTGCGCGATTTCAGCCACCCGCACCTCGTGGGCTTCGTCGAGCTGCGGAAAAGACCAGCCAAAATCTTCCTCGTGCTCGAGTACCTCGCCGGCGGCGACCTGCAGAAGTTCATCAAGGCGCGGAAGCGCCTGAAGGAGCCCGTCGCGCGGCGGTTCCTCGGGCATCTCGCGTCCGGCCTCAAGTTCCTGTGGTCGAAGAACCTGATCCACCGCGACCTGAAGCCGCAGAATTTGCTACTGACGGACTTTAGCGACGACGGGTTCCTGAAGATCGCCGACTTTGGGTTCGCGCGCCACCTCGAGACCGCGGCGCTCGCGGAGACGCTCTGCGGAAGCCCTTTGTACATGGCGCCCGAGATCCTGTCGTTCAAGCGCTACGACGCCAAGGCGGACCTGTGGAGCGTCGGCGCCGTGCTCTTCGAGATGCTCGCGGGCGAGCCGCCCTTCTCCGGCCGGGACCACCGCGAGCTGCTGAAGAACATCAAGCGGAAGGCGCTCCGCCTCCCGCGCGACGTCGCCGTCTCCGGCGAGTGCCTCAAGGTGCTGCAGATCCTGCTGAAGCGCGACCCCATCGCGCGCTGCGCCTTCGAGGAGTTCTTCGCCAACGCCTTCGTGTCGGGCACGGGCGAGCTGTCGCCCGCGGTCTTCGAGCCCCCGATGGCCACGGTCCGCGAGGACCACGAACACGACGACCTCCTGCCGGCGTCGCCGCCGCTGGCCGCGTCGCCGCCGCTGGCCGCGTCGCCCCTGGCGGCGTCGCCCCCGGCGGCGTCGCCGCCCGCGGCGCCGTCGCTCTCGTCCGCGTCGCCGCCGTTCGGCGGCTCGCCCTCGGCCGCGTCGCCGCCCGCGTCGACGCCCCTCCGCCGCTCGGCGACGCCGAGCGCGCCCCAGACGGCGCCCGCGCGCCGCCCCCGGGCCCAGAGCGACGCCGGCGCGCCGGCCGCGGAGTCCGCGTCGCGGTCGCTCCCAAAGTCGGAGCCGCGGCACCGGAGCCGCGCGGCGACGATCCGGGTGGAAATCAAATATTCAACCGGACTTCAATGCGTGCTTGTTCGATCGGTTCAATACGAGCTTCCCCGCCGCGCTTCGAGAGCTCGACGAGAGCCATCGATTCGTCCAAAAATCGGCCGAATCGACTACGATGTGACCGAACTAGAGAGTTTCGAAGTTCGGCCCCGACGTCCCGGCTCACCGGTCGATTTCCACGCAGGCGACGATGCCCCTGTCCCGGTCCCTCACGCGCGACCGCCAGCCCTGGAAGCCGCCCGTCGCGCCGCCGCCGCCGCGCCTCGCGGACCTCGCCCAGTCCGGCAGCGACGAGTTCGTCGTCGTCGACGATTTCTACGCGACGCCCGGCGCCCCCGCGGACCCGACGGCGCGGCCCCTCGACGACGAGGGCCTGCGGGCTGCGGAGACGCTGGCCCACGGCGCCATGGTCCTCGTCAAGGTCGCCGACGACCTGAGCCGCGACGTCGACGAGGAGCTCGACGCGACGCGCGTCGCGGACAGTGTGGATTCCACCCACTGGTTTGGATGGTCCCCACCAAACTTCAGAACTCTCTATCTCGGTCAAATCGAAGTCGATTCGGCTGATTTTTGGACGGATCGATTGCTCTCGTCGAGTTCTCGAAGCACAGCAGAAAGCCTTGCGTCGAAACGTTCGCATACGCGCACATTGAAGTCGGGTTGAAGATTTGATTTCCACACAGGTCGCGGAGCGACCCGGGCCGCGCGCGCTCGCGATCTACGTCGACTGCCTCAAGCACCTCACGAAGGCGTCGCACCTCGTCGGCGACAGCGGCCGGCCCCGCGAGGGCGACCGCGAGCGGTCCGGCCGGCGGTCGCCGGGCAGCCTGCGGGACCTGGACGTGCTCGATCGCGACGCGACGGCCGCGAAGCTCCGCGACTACATCGACGACGCGTACGCGGTGATCCTCGACCGCGCGAAGCACTGCGAGGCCCACGTCGAGACGTTGGAGGGGCTCGCGGACGAGTCCCTGTTCCTCTCGGGCGCGGACGCGGCCGCGGAGCGCGCGGTGCGCGTCGCGCGGCGCGGCGCGGACCTCGAGACCGTCGGCGACGGCAACGGGGCGCTCGACTGCTACGAGGCGGCGCTGGACTGCTGCCGGGCGCTGCTCGACGTCGCGCCGCTCAGCGACGGCGCGCGCGCGCGGCTCCTGGATCTCGCGGCGGCCGACGGCGCGCTCGCGGTCGCGGTCGCGCGGCTCTCGACGCCCCGGGAGACGCCGGCGACGAAATAACTCGCGGCGCTTAGAACAGAAACCAACGTCGTAGAAGGCCGTTAGATGACGACGTGGCGCGACGAGCCGCCGAGGCGCCAGGGCGGCGCGGGCTTGCGGTCGTCGTCGTCGACGGCGACGACGAGCGCGGCCTCGGGGCTCGCCGGCGGCGGCGCCGGCGGCTCGTCGCCGCCGCCCGCGAAGAAGTCGACGGCGCGGAGGGCGGCGTCGAGCGCCTCGGTCCACGCGGAGACGCTCGCGCCGCCGTCCCTCTCGAGCTGGCGCGCGGCCTGGACGGCGAGGGCCGCCTCGCGGAGCCGCCGCGCGGGACTCCTGCTCCGCGGCCGCGGCCCCGCGACGTGCGCGCGCGGCCGCCGGCCCCGGACCTTGTGGTCGAGCTGGCCGAAGCGCATGTAGTTCGTGCGCTTCGGCGGGCTCACGGGCCGGTGGGGCGACGACTTGCCCGCGCGCCAGTCCGGCTTCACGAACGACGGGTCCCGCTTCCGGAAGGGGCTGCCGAGCGCCTTCTTCGCGGAGCCGGGGCTCAGCTCCCAGGGCTTGGCGTAGGGCCGCGCGAGCTCCCAGGGGCCGCCGTCGTCGTCGCCGCGCGCCGCGCCGCCGCCGTCGTCGCGCGCGGGCGACGCCCAGGGGTCCGCGCCGTACGCGTCGGGCGTCGGCGCGCCGGGCGCGAGGTTCGGCGGCGGCGGCCACGTCTCCGCGGACCGCGGCGTCCAGCCCGGCGCCGCGTCGCCCGCCGGCGGCGTCGCCGCGGGCTCCGGGTCCGCGTGGCGCTCGGGCGGCGAGCCGAAGAGCTGCTCCATGCGCGCGGAACGCGGCCGGAGCACGGCGCGGCCCTTCGTCCGCTTCTGCCGCCGCTCGCCCTCGGGCGAGTCGTCGTGGGACAGCGAGAAGCCGTCGTCGTCGACGGCCTCGCAGAGCGCGCCGTCGCCCCGCGCGATCAAAATCTCGCTGCCCCGCTTCGCCAGTCGCGCGATGTGGCGCTTCGTCTCGAGCGCCTCCGCGGCCTTGGCCGCCTCCGGGTCCGGCTCCGGGTCCACGACGGGGGCGTCCGCTGCGACGACGGACGACGCTTCTTCGTCGACGGACGAGGCGTCGCCCGCGTCGTCGACGGACGAGGCTTTTTCATCGACGGACGAGGCGTCGTCCGCGTCGTCGACGGACGACGCTTCTTCGTCGACGGCCTCGTCCGCCGCCGCGGGTGGCGGCGCCTCGTCCTCGAAGTGGGACGAGAAGACGGCGTCGAGGAGGCCCGCGGCGGCGCTCGGCGGCTTCGGCGCCGCGGGGACGTCGCGGTCGAGCTTCTCGCGGGCCTCGGCGACGTCCGCCGCGCCGCCGGCCTTGACGACCAACGCCGCGACCTCGTCGCGCGGCAGGCCCGTCTCGAGCATGACCGCGTACGTGCGATCGAGCGGCTCGGACGGAGCCGCGGCCTCGGACGACGGCGCCGCGGACGACGACGACCCGGACGACGCCGACGACGCGCCGCTCGCGGACGACGCGCTCGCGGACGACGCGTCGTCGTCGTCGGCGGCGGCGGCGGCGTCGTCCTCGTGCGACGACGGCGGCGCGCCCTCCTCCTCCTCGTCCGACGACGACGACTCTTCGACGACCGCGCCGAAGAGCTTCGGCGCCGCCGACGTCCGCCGGGTCGCCTCGGACTCGGCCCCGGGCGGCGGCGGCGGCGGCGGCGGCGGGGGCCGCGCCTTCGGCGGCGCCGCCGGCTCCGGCGACGCCGGCTCGGGCTCCGGGGCCGCCGGCTCGGGCTCGGGCTCGGGCTCCGCGGCGGGCGCGACGCCGAGCGCGCCGCGCAGGTCCGCGACGCTGCGGCGCATCTGCCGCCGGCTCTTCGCCATCTCCTCGGGCGACAGCGGCTCCGGCTCCGGTTCCGGTTGCTCGTCGTCGCCGTCGCGCGGCGCGACCTCGCGGATCGACGCGCGCACCGTCCGCCGCGTCTTCTCCATGGACCCGCGCGCCTTGGCCATCTTCTCCGCGAAGGAGAGCTTCGGCGACGGCGGCTCGTCCGCGGCGGCGGCGGGCGCGTCCGCCGCTTCCTCCTCGTCGTCCTCCTCGTCGTCCTCGGCCGCCGCGGCCGCGGGCGCCTCGGCCTTGAGGTGGAACTGGGCGCGCATGGCGGCCATGCGCTCCTGGATGCTCAGCGCCTTGCCCGCGAGGCGGCTCGTCAGGGAGCCGCGCGCGGGCGCCGCGGCGTCGTCGTCGTCCTTGTCGCGAAAGGCCGCGTCGTCGCGCTCGGGCGCGCCGTAGACGTCCTCGCCCTTGTCGGAGCTCCGGTCCGTCGACGCGTCGCGGTCCTCGTCGCCCTCGCTCGCCGTGACCTCCTCGTACTCCTCGTACTCCTCGTAGGAGCCCTCCTCGCCGGACTCGGTGTACTCCTCGTAGACCTCCTCCTCCTCATAGGACGACTCGCTGCCCTTCTCCTCCTCCTGCGCCGCGGCGGACTCGCTCGACGAGCTGGCCTCGACGGTCGCGAAGAGCTTCCGGCCCGGGCCCGGGCTGTCCGGCATCGGTCGGAGCCGCCGCGCAGCAACTGTGCTCAGAGGCTGCCCGCGCGATCGCGACATCAACGATCTCAACGCCGACGGCAACCAATCCTCTGCTGAAGATTTGCTTGCTCTCGGTGGCGCTGTCGATGCGCGTCTAGGGAGGCGGGCTCTCCGAGGCGGATTTCCTCGCAACGCCGCGGCGGACCGGCCGGTCCCCCGCGCGCGGCCCGGACATGACGGGCATGCAAAAGTCGGCGAGCATGCCGCAGCTGACCCAGGCCTCCGCCATATCCCAGTCGACGCTCAAGTCGTCGGCCTCCACCATGCTCCACTCGACGGGGGGCGCCTCGACGGCGACGAAGAAGTGCGTCCACGCGGCGCCTCGAAACACCAAATACCCGCGACACGCGCGCGACCACCCCGCCGCGCCCCCCCAGGTACTTTGGGCCCCTGCAGCCCGTGTTCCCCCGGTCCGACATGGCGAAGCTGCCCGTCGTCTACCACAAGGGCGGCTGCGACTTCCGATGTCCCTACGACGTGCCGAGCATGGGCAAGCAGGTCCTGTCCTGGCCCCACACGAAGACCATGGGCAACGCGCGCTTCACCGAGAGCCAACGCTTCAAGGACGAGATGTACCGGTCGCCGGGGCCGAAATACTCCGGGCCGTCGTCCCTCGGCCGCCAGGGCCACTCGAAACGGCGCTCGAACCCGTCCTTCGGCTTCGGCACGTCGACGCGGAACGACGCGCTCAAGCAGTACGCCGTCTGGTCCTGCCGATGAGGGCGCCCGCGACGCGCGGGGCGCGCGGTCGTAACGCGAGCCTCATTCGCTGTCGCGGTGCCGCGGGGCGCGCGGTCGCAACACGTGCCTCCTTCGTGCGCGGCGCAGGCGGCCATCATCAGCGCGAGCAGCACGAAAGTCAGCACGAGAGCAGCGGTATGGTTCAACAACCGCTGGGAGCAGTGCAAGTACAGCTGTACCAAAATTACCAGAGCATCGACGATCTCAGCCAGCCGACGTCGAGCGACGTCGAGGCCTGCAGCCCTGCACCTCACTTTTTTGCCGCTAGCAGGCGACGATCTCGGAGCCGGAGCGACGTCGACGATGCCGCCGGCGAGAGAGTCCTCCGCGCTGCTACCGCCTAACGTCGAGCTCGAGGATGGCCGCCTGACGTCGACGAGCAGCGTCCTCGGCCAGGTACCACCGCGCCTGCACCGCGCGCTCACCATGAGCTCGCTCGACGACGCGTCGAAGCCGCGGCGCGTCGCCGGCCTGCTCATTTTAGCCTACTTCCTGATCGGCACGGTCTACTACCACTTCTTCGCGCTGCCGGAGCACTTCGCCTTCGTCGACGCCGTCTACTTTTGCGTGACGACGATCACGACGGTCGGCTACGGCGACACGAACACGCGCTACAACGAGGACCATTCCGAGGAGGACATGCTCTTCACGTCCTTCTTCGTGCTCTCGGGCGTGGGCATCGTCGGCGCGGCGCTCGGCGTCGTCATGGCTTACGTCTTGGACCAGGAGGACGAGGCCGCGCGCGCGCTCGCCAAGGGCGACGACGACGCGGACGCGAGGAAGCCGCGGCGATTCGTCCTCGGGCGGAAGCTGAGCGAGGCCGAGTCGAAGGTCTTCCTCTCGGCCGTCGTCATCTTCTACTTGGTGCTCTTCGGCACCGTTTGCTTCAAGTACATCGAGGGCGCGTCGTTCACGCGCGCGTTCTACTGGTGCTGCGTCTCCGTGACGACGGTCGGCTACGGCGACGTCTACCCCGTCACGAACGGCGGCAAGTACTTCGCCTGCGCCTACCTGCTCGTCGGCTGCGTGACGATGGCCAAGGCCCTCGGCGACATCGCGGGCATCCCGCTCGAGCTGCGGCGGAAGCGCAACGAGCGCGCCGTGCTCGACCAGTACGGCGAGCGGCTCGACCCGGGAGAGTTCCGGGAGATCCTGCAGTCGTTCCGCGGCACGGGTTTGGACGGCGGCGGCTTCGAGGCGTGCTCGCGGACGGAGTTCGTCATGTGCATGCTCGTCAAGCTCGAGCGCGTCGACCGGAGCGACATCCGGCGCTGCGTCGAGGTCTTCGAGACGCTCGACGCGGACGGGAGCGGCACGCTCGACGCGAAGGACCTCGAGGGCGCCGGCGCCTACGAGCCGCCGGCGCCGGCGCCGCTCACGTAAGATGGGCGATTTACCAGGGCGGGCTCCGGACGTCCTGGGCCTCCTGGGCTTCGAAGACGGTCTGGTAGGGGTTGCGCAGGTACGTCTCCATGGCCGCGTCGTCCGCGGCGGGCGTCGCCGCCTCCGTCGCCGGCGCGAGCCAGTCCGCGGGAAATAGGTCCCCGAAGAGCATGTGCTGGACGACGACCTTGACGCCCAGCACCTCCTGGGCGAAGTACCGCAAGATGCGCCGGTTCGTCACGCGCCAGGGCCGGTGCGAGCAGTTGAACAGAATCGGCGCGGCCTCGCCGAACCTCGCGTCGCCGATCGCGTCGCGCACGTGGAGCACGCACTCGTAGAACATGGACTCGTGCCGCTTCGCGTCGAGGCCCGGCACGACGTCCAGCGTGTCCTCGTCGCCCCAGCCCGCGGGCGCGTCGCCGGCGTCGCCCGCGATGCACTGCGCGCTCCCGAAGACGAACGGCAGCATCTGGTACGGGTCCAGCGCCCAGACGCCGCGGGCCCCCGCGGGCTCGAGGCCGAAGCAGTCCTGGATCGCGCGGCAGGCGGCGACGTAGGCGCGGAAGACGCCGCAGGCCACGGCGCCGGAGTCGACGTCGTCGTCGGTCAACGCGCCGAAGCGCCAGAGGCAGTAGAGGAACGCGAGGAACGCCGCCTCGTGGCCCGTGCCGTAGTCGATGCGCGTCTCGTTGCCGAAGCTCGCGCAGAGCCGCGCGCGCAGCTCGTCGGGCGCGCCGCCGCCGACGGCGTCGGCGACGAGCGCCGCCGCGCGCTCGCGGAGCCACGCGTGCCACTCGCGGAACTTGGGCGACCCGTAGCGCCGCGGCTCGCCGGCGACGGGCGTGAACGCGTCGCAGCCCGCGGCGATCGTGCCGAGCATGGCCATGAGCCGGCGCGGCGCGCCGGAGGCGTCGGCCTCGTCGACGCTGCGCTTGCCGACGCAGGACGCGTTCAAGCGCTGCGCGAAGGTCACGAGCGCCGCGCGGCTCTTCGACTTGAGCCAGAGCTTGAAGTTCGCGTCGTCCTTGATGACGGCGACCGTGGACGTCGTCGGTTGGGTGTCCATGGCGACCGAGGCGATTTGAGAGGCCATTGTTTTGTGGCAACTTTGTGGCAAATATGGGGTTCACTTTCAGTGCAACCTCGCGTGATGGCGCGTGCGATTATGCGATCGATGTGCGTCGCGCTGGTCGTTTTAGCGCAGTCGCAAGCGCTGCAGGTCGACCAGGGTTCGCTGCAGCGCTGCATCGCCAAGGCGACGCCGCTCAATGGTCGAGTGCTGAGCCGAGAGAGGTTCAAAGACGCCGTCGGATCGTCCGCCGAGGCCGACGCCCTGTACGACGCGATGACGCGCGGCCGCGGGCCGACGCTCGACGCCGCGGACCTCGAGCGCTGGACCGGAGACGAGGCGCTCTTCGTCGCCGCGGTGTCGTCCGCGCGCGCCTACACGCTGGCGGTGCGGCTCGGGTTCGACCTGCTCCAGACGACGGCGTACTACGTGCTCTTCGTCGCGTCCGCGGCGCGGGAGCTCCTCGGCAAGGAGCTCCTCATCAGCCGCGGCGCCGTCGAGCCCGTCGACGCGGCCGTGGGGCTGTGCGTCGCCTACGCGGCGGCCTACGCGACGACGGAGGGCCTCATGGGCGAGGGCTGATTAGACGGGGTTCGCCGTCATCTCGAGGGACGTGTTGCGGTCCGCGCCCGCGAGGGGCGCGTCGCGGAGGTGGCGCGCGTACTTGAGCGCGAGGTCGACGACGGCGACGCGCGCCGGCGCGTCCGGGAACCACGAGTCCAGCAGCGCCGCCGCCGACTTGCCGTACTTGGCCGCCGTCGACGGCCGGCGCAGCAGCGAGGACGGCGATCGCGCGATGACGGCGAGCCCGCGCTCGACGGAGCTCCGCTGGCGCTGCCGCTCGCGCTGGCCGGGCGGCGGCTTGGCGAGGAGGAGCGTGACCGCGTCGACGGCCGCGGCGCGGTCCAGGGACCGGGGCCGGTCGCGCCCGCCGGCCGCCGTCGTCGCGGCGTCGAAGAAGACCGCCGCGACGGCCGCGGCCGCGCGGAGGTCGCTCGCGCGCGCCGCGTCCACGGGCCCCGCGTCGGGCCGGTGCAGGTGTTTGTCGAAGGTGCCCGAGGGGTGGGCCTTGGCGTGGACGAAGGAGCGACGTATGACGTCGAAGGGCAGGAAAGCGAAGGGGAAAAAAATGACGTAGACCACCGAATAGGCCACGTAGCCGAACATGAACTCGCCGACGACGACGTCCAGCAGGTCGATGCAGAAGCGGAACGGCGCCTCGACGGCCGCCAGCGCCGACGCCAACAGCAGGTAGGTCGCGAGCCCCGCCCGGCTCGGCCGGCCCCCCTTCGCGTCGCCGTACGCGGCGAAGACGCGGTTCTGGCCGAGGCAGAGGAGCGACGCGAACGACGCCAACAGCTTCAGCAGGCACTCGTAGAGCTTCGCGCCGCGGCCCGCGAGGAGGCCGAGCACGGCGCGCGACGTGTCCCAGAGCACGTAGCAGTAGGGCACGGCGAACGCGTCCCGCTCGAGCGCCGCGTGCGCCTCGGCGGACACGGCGAGCCCGAGGCCCGGCCGCCACGTCTCCGCGACGACGACCGTGGGCTCCGACGCGCAGAAGAGCGACACCTGGCAGGTCATGTCCGCCGCGGGCAGCCGCCGGTCGAAGATGTCCGCGAGCGCGGCGACGCCGTCCTCCTCGCGCATCGCCGCGCCGACCCCTTCCGCGACGGCCACCGTCGCGGGCGCCGTCAGCGTCTCGAAGGCCGCCGCGAGCGCCTCCGCCGTCAGCGTCTGGATCGGGATGGGCGGCGGGCCGACGCCCGCGCGGCGGCAGCACTCGCCCCAGAAGTGCTGGTCGCCGAAGAACGGGCAGACGAGCGTCGGCAGGCCGCGCCTCAACCCCGCGGCGACGGTGCCCGCGCCGCCGTGGTGGACCACGGCGCGGCAGTGGGGCATGAGCCAGCTGTGCGGGCAGGGCCCGATCGTCGCGACGAGCGGCGACGTCCGGTCGCCCTCGATCTTCGACCACGAGCTCTGGACTATGACTCTCGTCTTCGACGCCTCCGCCGCGTCCAAAATCAGGTCGTAGAGCGCCCCCGGGTCGGCGATGACCATGCTCCCGAAGCCGACGAAGACGGGCTCGCCGCCCGCCGCGAGGAAGGCGGCGACGGACTTCGCCGGCTCGTACGTCGCGCCGCCGTCGTCCTTGGCCTTGAGCGTGAGCGCGCCGACGATGTCGCAGTTGTCCCCCCACTCCTTGGGCTTCGGGCAGAGCGCCGGCGACCACGTGTAGACGAAGGGCACGTCGAAGTCGTCGAGGAGCGACGCGCCGCGGTCCGCGACGTCGAGGCGTCGCAGCCCCAGCTTCTTCTGGCGCCACTCGTTCGCGTCGAGGCCCTGCCACTGGAGCGTCTCCACGGCGCGGAAGCTCAGCGCGTTGACCTGCTTCTGCTGGAGCGTCGTCGGCTCGTTGTTCGGCAGCGACGCGAGCGGGTGCGGGAACGACGCCGTCGGCGTCCACGGCTGCGGGAACGCCATGAGCAGGGGCACCTTGAGCGCCTCGGCGACGTGGAAGTGGCCGTAGGCGACGGGGTTCGCTACAATTGCATGCGCAACAAAACGGGGCGCGTGGATCGCGCGGTCGTCCTCCAGGTCGACGCGCGTGCACGCGTCGAGGCAGCTCGTCATGATCGCGTTGATCATGGCCTTCTTCACGGGGATCTCCTTCAAGTCGTCCAAATTGGCCCGGGGCAGGAGCCGCCCCTGGCTCTGGACCATCCACTGGCTCAGGATGCGCGGGTCGCCCGCGAGGGGGTAGAACTCGAGGCCCGCGTCGACGACCTTGGACCGGTAGCACGCGTGCGTCGCGAGGCGCACGCGGTGGCCGTGGCGCTCCACGAGCTCGAGCCCGAAGGCGACGAAGGGCGCGACGTCGCCGTGCGTGCCCGTCACGAGCAGGCAGACGTTGAGCTTCGGCATCGCGGCCTGCGGCGCGTCGTCGCCGCGCGGCCGCCACGCGCCGAAGAGCTGCGCGCGGACGCTCAGCACCTTGTGGCGCACGCGCACGGAGGCCACCCGCACGCGCCGCGGGAACAGGCCGCGCAGGAGCGTCGCCATGAGCCCGCCGCCGCGCGTCACCTTCGTCAGGAGGTAGACCGTGACGAAGAGGCCCCACGCATAGGCCGCGTGATAGTTGCTGAATATGTACTCCCCGCCGAAGTGGAATCCGGCGAAGACGATCTCGTCGTCGTCGCCCTGGAGGCGCCGCCCCATGGTCCGGCAGCACTGGTGCACGGCGCACAGAGAATCGGCTGCCAGCGTAAACTGTCACAAGTCAGTCGTTTTTTTTGGGTTCAAGTTGAGGTGCATCAAGCAGCGCGGGGCATGCGCCACGGCATGCGCAAAGATGCGCAGGCTGACGTGCGGGCCTTCGTCTTTAGACAAGCAGAGTAAGTAAAAACGAGCCTGCGCGCGTGCCCGGCGCGTCGCAAAGTCGGAGCGCGGGGGACGGTGTCCCCCGCGCTCGTCATGGGGCGACGAATGGCCGGGCGCCGCTCAGCGGGACGCCGCGAGGAGCGCGACGAGGTCGCCCTTCTCGCTGCAGCCGACCGTGTTGATGCCGCGGTCCTTGCAGGCGCTCCGGAGCTGCTTGACGGACAGGGCGCCGATGTCCGCCGGCAGCTCGCGGGCCAGCAGGTCCTCGAAGACCCGGAGGAACTCGTCCGGGTTGCCCGAGCCGTTGACGGTCGTCGCCGCGCGGGGACCGCTCCGGAACGGCGACCGCATGCCGACGGGCCCGAAGACGAAGTAGGGGATGGCGTTGATGCCTACCAAGCATGTCGGTAACGATTTTTCTTCGTTTTCCCGAAAAATCTTCGAAAATCGTCAGCGCCACAGGACGCTGGTTGATGCCTTTTTCGTGGATCGTCGAGCCGTAGCTCGTCCAGACGTCGGCGACGAGCTCGTCGGAGTCGAGGAACTCGCCGAGCGCGGACGCGTCGAGGCCGGACGCGGCCGCGGCGTCGAGGAGCGTCGCGCGGTGGCTCGCGCTCTTGCGCTGCTCGAAGTGGCGGTGGCCCAGATGGTCCATGAACTCCTCGGCCAGCCCGAAGCGCCGCGCCCAGAGCATGGACCGCTGCGAGTCGATGGGCTGCCAGTTCGTCTGGACGCCGTAGTCGAGTTCGATGCCCGCTCGACGCCCGAGCATGCGCATGCCGTCCTCCGCGGCCGCGCGCCGCGCGGCGTCGCCGCCGCAGTAGCCCAGCAAGGAGTCGTGCCACGTCGGCTCGTTGCCCTCCTTCGTGCCGTGGCCCGCGAGCGAGCCCCGCCGGCTGTCGCCGTTGAACGAGTACGGGTGGCGCGTCACGTTTAGGAGGAGGCCGACGTCCGGGTGGCGCTCGTGGAACATGTTGAGGCCCAGCTGCACGTTCTTCTTCCCGATGAACCCGTGGGGTCATTGCGTGCAGGTCACCCAGTCCGCCTCGACGCGCAGCGTGCGCGGCCGCGGACTGCCCTTCCAGGAGCCCGGGAGCAAATTGAGCACTTCCTTCGCATGCTTCGTGACCTCGCCGCGGCACATCGTCCAAGCCTTGCGACGGCGTCGACGGGCTCCTCGACGCGCTCCTCGACGCGCTCCTCGACGCGCTCCTCGACGCGCTCCTCGACGCGCCGATGGGCGTCTTCGACGAGCTTCGAGGAGTGCAACTCCGGTTTGTTGAGGAAAATCATCAGCCTGGCGCAAGCATTTAATTGGCGGGACGACGATGGCTCTTGCAAAACTCCTCAGAGTGACCGCGCTGGCCGTCGCCGCGGCCTGGCCAACAAGACTCGACGACGCGCAGCTGGCCACGCCCTTTGGCCCCATCGCGGGCGTCGTGGAGGACGGCATCGAGCGCTTCGTGGGCCTCCGCTACGCAGCCCCGCCGACGGGCGACAGGCGCTTCCGCCGCGCCGCCGTGTCCGAGCCCTGGGGCCCCGAGCCCTACGACGGCACGGCCTACGGCCCGTCGTGCCACCAGAGCTCCGGCGGCGTCGGCACGGACGCGCCCGACCCCGCCATGCACCCGGGCGCGCTCGCGCCGCCGCCGGACGAGGACTGCCTCTTCGTCAACGCGTACCGGCCCGCGCGGCCCTCGCCGGCGGGGAAGCGGCCCGTCATGGTCTGGGTCCACGGCGGCGGCTTCTGCTCCGGCGCGGGCGCGACGGGCTGGTCCGAGGGGTCGCGCCTCGCGGACCGCGAGGACGCGGTCGTGCTGACGCTGAACTACCGCCTCGGGCCCCTGGGCTTCGCCAGCGACGGCGCCGAGGGCGGCGCGCTGGGGCTCTGGGACGTCATCACGGCGCTGGAGTTCGCGCGCGCGGCGCTGATCGAGCCGCTGGGCGGCGATGTCGACGCGGTGACGCTCTTCGGCGAATCTTCCGGCGGCGTCGCCGTCTGCGCTTTATCCGCGTCGCCGGCGGCCGCGGGGCTCTTCTCCCGGGCCATCATCCAGTCGGGCCCCTGCGTCGTCGACGCGCCCAAGGGCTGGGGCCCCGGCGACCCGGCCCTCGGCGTCGCGGCGACGCGCCGGGTCCTGGGGCTGCTCAGCGTCGCGTCCCTGGACGAGGCGCGATCGCTCGACGCGTCGTCGCTCCAGTGGGCGCCCGTGGACATGGCGGACCCGAACTTCCCCGGCTGGTGGCTCGACGCCACCTTCTTCCCCGGCCTGAAGCCGCCGGCGGCGTACTACCTCGCGGACCCGCCGAAGACGCACGTCCGGGACTTCATCATCGGCACGACGTCCAAGGACGGCACGGCGGCGTTCTACGGGCGCGCGCCCCTGGACAACGTCACCGGGAGCGACGTCTACCTCCGCCACCTCGAGCGCGCGTGGGGGTCCGCCGTCGCGCCGCGCGTCGCCGCGCACTACGCGCTCGACAACTTCGGCGGCGACGTCGCCGCGGCGTTCATCCAGGCCGACGCGGACCACTTCCTCCACTGCCCGTCGCTGGCCATGGCGCGGAGCCTGAACCGCGAGGCGGACCGCGCGAGCGGCCGCTGGGCGCGGCGCGCGCGGCGCTGGTGGGCCTGGTGGGCCGCGTCCGCGGGCGCCTGGGACCCGCGGCGGCTCGCGGCGGGCGCCGGCGGCGACGCGCGCCTTCCAGTACGTCTTCGCCCACTGGTCCGAGGCGAACTGCGACGCGGCCGTCGACCTCGCCGTCGAGGCGGCGCGGCCGCGCGACACGCCGCTCGACGACCCGCTGCCCTTCGCGTGCCACGGCGCCGACGTCCAGTTCACCTTCGGCAACGAGGCGGGGCCCGACGGCCTGTCGTCGGACTCGCCGACGCCGCGCCACGACTGCCCCTACTCGCAAAGCGGCCGCCGGCTCTCGGACGCGGTCCTCGACTACTGGGGGTCCTTCGCGCGCGGCGGCCGGCCCGTCCGCGAGGGCGACGCCGACGGCGGCTGGAGACCGGGCGGCGGCGTGCGCAAACTCGCGTCCGACGACGACGGCGGCATCGCGACGGTGGACCGCTTCCGCGCCGCGGACTGCGCGTTCTGGGCCTCCGTCGACGACGAGGTGGCCGCCGCGCTCGCCGTCAACTGGCGCCAGCGCGCCTGGTAACGCCGCCGCCACTTAGCTCGGGACGACGACCGGGGGCGTGTCCTCGACGTCCGCGACGCGCGGCGCGTCGTCGACGTCGCCGACGCGCGGCCGCGGCGTCGCGAGGCTCGGCGGCGCGGACGAGCGCCGCGGCGTGTCGAAGAAGGCCGCGGGGGCGCCGTCGCGCTTCGGCGGCGCCAGGGGCGCCGGCGCGTGGGACCGCGCGCGCGGCCGCGTCTCCGCGAGGAGCTCGCGCAGGACGCGCCCGAGCTCCGCGGCCTGCGACTTCGTGAGGAGCCGCTGCGGCGCCTCGAGGAGGAACTCGGCGACCTGCGTCTCCGCGGGCACGCCGGGCCGCACGGGGAACTTGGCGAGGAGGCGCCCGTCGTTCGTCAGGATGTCGACGACGAAGGGCCGGTCGCGCGGCGGCGGCGGCGCCGGCGCCTCCGATGCAACGTCCTCCTCCTGTTCCCTTTCCGGCAGGGGGCACCGCAACAGTCGCGCGACGTCGTGGAGCGCCGCGCAGGTCTCCGCGGGGAGGCGCGCGGGCACGGGCGGCGGCGCGTCGAGGGGCGGGTCGCCCGCGAGCGCGGCGGCGACGGCCGCGACCTGGGCAGCACAAGGGTGATTCAACGTCGCTTCAACGTGAGTGTTCCGCGCGCGCGCGTTCCGGAAAAAGCATCCATGCTTCGAGACCGCTCCGAGAGATGATCGCTCGTCCAAAAATCAGCTGAAACGAGTGGAAAACGGCCGAGATAGGAGCCTTGGAAGTTGGGAATTTCGCTCTCTTTTGCTGCCCTGGCCGCGACGGCCGCGTCCGCCGCGAGCGCCGCGTGCGCCGCGACGTCCGCCGCCGAGAAGTCGGCGACCCCGAAGTCCGCGGCCCGCGCCGGCGGCCGCGCCGCGGGGAACAGGCCGTCGACGGCGCGCGCGACCCAGTCGGCGACGCGCGCCGCGCCGCCGCCGCGGTCGCCTTCGAAGATCAGGTGTATAAAACGCGCGTCGTCGCGGGCCATGAGGTCGCCGTCCGCGCGGTCGTCGGCGTCGGCGAAGTTCGCGACGAGGCACACGGGCGCGCCGCTCTGGGCGGTCACGGCCCGCGCGGCCTCGAGGCACGCGTCGACGGAGTCGCGATGTCGCGCGTCGTAGACCGCCAAGACGCAGTCGCACCTGTGGAACGCGCCGAGCGCGAAGGCCTCGGGCGCCGCCGCCGCGTCGACCTCGACGAACGCGCAGCGCACGAGGCCCGCGGCCGACGCCGCGACGAACGTGGACCCGTCGAGGGGCACGGGCGCGCGTTCCACGACGGCGCGCGCGACGAAGCTCCGGCCGGACTTTGGCGCGCCGACGACGGCGACGGTGGCGAGGCGCCCCTCGCCCTCCTCGAAGCGCGTCGCCGCGGCGCGCTGCTCCGCCGTCGGCGGGCCGCGCCGGTCCAGGAGCGCGCTCACCTCCGCCGCGAGGTCGAACTCCTCGTCCGTCGGTTCGCGCCGCCGGTAGCCGGCGCCGAGCTCCTGCTCGAGCAAGGCCGCCGCCGCCTCGCGCTGCGCCTCGTCGCCGTGGACGAGGTAGAGCTTCGCGAGGCCGCCCAGCGGCGCGGCTCGAGCCGCGGTGACGGCGGCTGGGATGGGCTGCGCCATCGTGTGCTCATTTGCTCGACGTTGAAGTGATCGAGGTCGGCATTGCCTTCGAGCTCTCTCGGCGGCATGAGCCTCGCCTGAAGCTCTTTGCATCCAGCTCCAGCTCTTTGCATCCACCTCCAGCGCTCTTTGCATCCAGCTCCAGCGACGATGGGCAAGAAGGATAGCAGCGACGCCAAGGCGAAGAAGGACGCTAAAAAGGCGAAGGACGCGAAGGACGACGCGCCCAGCAAGTCCTCGAAAAAGGCGAAGGACGCGAAGAAGGACGACGCGCCGAGCAAGTCCTCGAAGAAGGCGAGCCGCGCCGCCGCCGAGGCGGAGCGCGCGCGCGCCGTCGAGGACATGCTGGACTGCGGCGGCGACGACGCGTCGACGGCGTCGGAGTCGGAGCTGACCACGGACGCGTTCGGCAACACGATCACGAAGCAGGAGGCGGCGCAGAAGGACGAGGAGGCCGCGGTCCGCGCGGCGGCGAAGGCGCGGCGCGAGGCCAAGGCGGCGCGGTCGGCCCCCGAGCCCGCCGCCGCGCCCGCGGGCCGGCCCCAGTGGCTTATCGACTACGACAAGGTCAAGGCCAAGGCCGCGGCCGGCGGCAGGCTCAGCGGCAAGGAGAAGAAGCTGCTGAAGCGCGGCGAGGCGCGCGAGGCCGAGGAGGCCGAGCTCGGCCTCACGGGCGAGGACGCCGACGCCGCGCCCCTCGACGCGCGGCTCGCGGGCTTCTCCCTGACGCTGCCCGGCGGCGGCGCCGCCGCCGACGACCGCGGCGTCGACGTCGTCGTCAAGGGGTTTAGCATTTCCGCGCCGGAGAAGCCGCTCTTGGTCAACGCGGACCTGACGCTGAGCCGGGGCCGCCGCTACGGCCTCATCGGCGCCAACGGCCGGGGCAAGTCCACGCTCCTGCGCTTCCTCGCGGCGCGCCGGCTGCCCGTGCCCGCGTCGCTCGACATCTTGCTCGTCGAGCAGGAGGTCGCGGCGTCGGGCGGCCGCGTATTGGACGAGGTCCTCGCCGCGGACGAGACGCGCGCCGCCCTGCTGGACGAGGAAGCGACCCTCTTCGCGGCGCTGGAGGCGGAGTCCGGCGACGTCGCCGCCGCGGCCGCGCGGCTCGCGGCGGTCGCGGACGAGCTCGAGGCGACGGACGCGGACGGCGCCGAGGCGCGCGCGCGGCGGATCCTCTGCGGCCTCGGCTTCACGGAGCGCATGGTCGAGGGCCCCGTGAAGGAGCTCTCCGGCGGCTGGCGCATGCGCGTGAGCCTCGCGCGCGCGCTGCTCGCCGCGCCGCGGCTGCTGCTGCTGGACGAGCCGACGAACCACCTCGACCTGGACGCGGTGCTCTGGTTGGACGGCTACCTGACGTCGTCCTTCCCGGCGACGTCGACCTTGCTGACCGTGAGCCACGACCGCGACTTCCTGGACGAGACGTGCACGGACCTGGTGCTCCTGACGGACGACGGCGGTTTGGAGTACCATCGGGGCGGCCTGAAGCGGCTCGAAGCGGGCGACGCGGCGCGGCGCGCGAAGCGGGCCAAGGACTTTGCGCTCCAGCAGAAGGCGCTCAAGGAGGAGCGCGCGAAGCACCCGGCCCTCAAGGCCGACAAGCTCGAGGCGCGGCTCATGGAGCGGCTCGGCCTGCCGCGGCTCGCGGAGAAGCCGCGCGAGTACGCCGTCGATTTCACCATCGAGGCGCCGGAGAACTGCCGGAGCCTGCCGGGCCTCGCGGCGGAGCTGCGCCGGGTCGGGTTCGCCTACGAAGCGACGACGAAGTCCGGCGCGTTCCGGGGCTTTGAAGATCTGGACCTCTGCGTGACGCCGTCGACGCGCGCGGCGTTGGTGGGCGCGAACGGCTCGGGCAAGTCGACGCTGCTCAAGCTGCTCACGGGCGCGCTGGCGCCGACGTCGGGCGACGCGTCCGTCGGGCGCAATCTCGTCGTCGGCTACTACGACCAGCACTTTAGCGAGCTGAAGAAGTGCGGTTCGGGCGACTCCGCCGTCGACTTCCTGCTGAAGACGTACCCGTCCCTCGGCGCGGCGCAGGACGCGCGCAAGTGGCTCGGCAAGTTCGGCCTCGACTCCGCGCGCCACGTCATGCCCGTCAAGGACCTGAGCGGCGGCCAGAAGGCGCGCGTCTGCTTCGCGTCCATCGCTCTCAAACGGCCGCACGTGCTGATCCTCGACGAGCCGACGAACCACCTGGACCTCGAGTCCGTCGACGCGCTCATCCGCGCGCTCGAGGCCTACGAGGGCGGCGTCCTCGCCGTGTCCCACAGGGCAGCAAAAGAGAGCGAAATTCCCAACTTCAAAGGCTCATATCTCGGCCGGTTTCCACTCGTTTCGGCTGACTTTTGGACGAGCGATCATTTCTCGGAGCGCTCTCGAAGCGTGGATGCTTTTTCCGGAACGCGCGCGCGCGGAACACTCATGTTGAATCGACGTTGAATCACCCTTTTGCTGCCCAGGTGTCCCACGACGCGGCGCTCGTCGACGCGCTCGGCCGCGACGCCGACGGCGTCGAGTGCCCGTTGTACGTCTGCCGCGACTCAAAAGTCGTCCTGGAGCGCGGCGGCTTCGCCAAGTACAAGAGGGATTTGGACGCGGCCGCGCAAAAGCGCGAGGCCGCGGCGACGGCGGCCGCGACGGAGCGCGCGGCGAAGCGCGCGCGCGACCGGCGGGCCAAGCTCCAGCGGGCCACGCTCCCGAAGCCGCCGAGGAAGTAAGGACGTCGCTATGCTGACGCGCCCCGGGCGAAGTCCGCCGAGGAGACGGACGACGTCGCGACGACGAGCGCGCGGACCGCGGGCGCGCAGAGGTGGTTGAGGCCCGCGACGACGCGGAGCATGAACGGAGCATAAACAGTTGCCCGCCCCGACTCGATCTGGTCCGCGGCGACGACGGCCGCCGCCTCGGCCGTGAGGATGGGCCTCACGAGCCACGTGGCGATCTTTGGGAGCCGGTCCGCGGCGCCCGCGTTCGTGGAGAAATATTCGCTCGAGACCTCGCCGAAGACGGCCATCTGGCTGTTCACGGAGGAGCCGTAGCAGTCCTGGACGAGGGATTCGTAGAGCCCGCGGAGCGCCCAGCGCGCGCAGACGTAGGACGTCGCGCCGGGCACGGCGAGGAGGCCCGCGGGGCTCTGGACGGCCAAAATGGACGACTTCTTCCCCGAGCGAATCATCTTCGGGGCGAATTCGCGCGAGAGGAGGGCCGCGGCGACGTAGGGCGCGCCGAGGCAGAAGGACACGTCGCTCGCCGGCGCCTCGTTCAGGAAGCGCCAGGCGCCCGCGCCCGCGTTGTTGACGAGCACCGTGGGGACGCCGACGGCTTCCGCGACCTTCGCGACCTGCGCCGCGTCGCTGCAGTCGCAGCGCAGCGCGACGGCGTTTTCCCGGCCGATCTCCGCGACGAATTGTCGAGGGCCGCCTCGTTCCTCGCCAGCAGGAAGACCTTGCTGCCGCGCTTCGCGCATTCCTTGGCAAGGGCGGCGCCGATGCCCGCCGAGGCGCCGGAGATGACGACGGCGGCGCCGCGCAGCGGCACGCCGCGGGACCATCTGCGGTAGAGCGCGTAGCAGACGTAGCCCGCGGCCACGCCGCCGCAGTAGAGCCGCGCGCGCGACGCCATCTCCAAATGGGCTGCCCAGAAGTCTACTCGCCGAGTTTACCGAGTCTTGTCATTCGCGAAGCCCACGTCGCCGGCGTAGCCGGGAGTTCCGGAGCAGGGCGTCGGAGCCCTCCCGCGGACGAAAAGGAGCGCCGTGGCCGATGACACACCTTTTAGACTCGGCTGACAGTCACACACATTAGCGACGACGCGCGGCGGTGCTACGCGTCGGCCGCGCCGCGGGCGGCCGTGGCCGCGGCGCGCCGGTCGTCCGGCCGCCGCCGCTCGCAGACGCTCTCCCACCGCCGGCGATCGCGCTCGGTGAAGAGGACGGAGTCGCGGTGGAGCGCGCGCGCCGCCGTGAGCGCGAGCGCCGTGGACCGGAGGCCGGGCTTCGGCGGCTGCTGCGGCGCGGCGGGCCGCGGCGGCGTCGCCGAGCGCATCATGGAGTCGAACATGGCGTCCTCGCGCGCCTCCTTCACCAGCCGCTCGTGCTGCTGCTCGATGAAGAGCGTGCGGCTCGTCTTCTCCTTGGGGACGGCGGGTATGGGCACGTAGCCGCGACGCGGCGTGAAGGCCGCGGACGGCGCGTGCGTGGGAGATTGCGCGGGGCCATCGAAGGCGAAGTAACCGCGACGCGGCGTGAAGGCCATGGTCGTGTGTGCTTGGGAGTTTGAGCTGCCCCATGTTTCCAGGCTTTCTCTAGGAGAGGCGCCAACTCCGGACTTTCGGCATCATGACGGAAACGTTGAAGAAGGTCCGGAGCCACGCCTTGGTGTGCACAGCGGAAGGTTTCGCGCCCGCGTCCCGGGCCGAAGGCGTGCGCCGCGAGCGTCTCGCGCCGGCGTCCGCACCGCCGGAGGCCGCCGCCGCCGCGCCCCGGCGACGCCCGGCCGCGCGCGACGCCGCGCGGGAGCCGCGGGGGCTCGCGGCCGTCGCTTCGCGGCGCCGGCGTCGCGACGAGCGGTACCGGATGCCGTCGGCGGACGCCGCGCGCCGGGCGGACTGGTGGAAGCGCGCGGCGGGCGTCGCGAACCCGGGCCGAACCCGGGCCTCGAGCGTGGACGCTTCGGCGGGGTCTTCGACGCGCCGGCGGCCGCCGGCGCCGGCGCGCGCGTCGCCGCGCGCGCGACGCGACGCCCGCGGACTACGTCGCGGCGGTGGACCGACCGCGCACGCGTCGTCGAGCGCTTCGGCACTCCTCACGAACGCGTGCTCGTGGACCGGGCGCTCCGCGCGCGCGCGCGGGACGGCGACGCCGTCGCGCGCGGGCGACCGCGCCGCGGCGGCGGCTCGCGCGCGCGGCGGTGCTGAACGTGATGCGACGCTACGGGCGAAGGCGCGCGTAGCGCGCGAAAAATTGCATCCCGTCGGCCCTAGATGGCCAGATTCGACCTCCGCGAGCGCGCGCGACGGCGGCGGCGCGAGCGATCGCGCCGCCGCGGCGGCGGCCGCGGCTCGCGCGCGCGGCGTGGGCGCGATGCGACGCTGCGGATGGGCGCGCGCAGCGCGAGAAAAATTGCATCCTCGGCCCTATGACCAAAAAATCGACCTCAGACCGCGCGCGACGGCGCGCCGCCGGCCGCCGCGGGGACCGCGCGCGCGCCGCGTTGGGCCGCGGCGTCGGACGAACGATCACCGGCGCTGCGCTCGCTTCGCTCGCTACCGTGGTCGCGGGAGCGAGCGAGCGTCGTGGTTTGATCGTAGGACTACGGCGAAGTATGGCGTGGCGGAGCGCGACTACTCTATGTAGTCCTCCAGCAAATCATCGAAGATCGAGGCCGATGGACGAGCCGAAGCCCCTTCGAAACCCGGCGAAACGACCCCTCCGACCCCTCCTCCGACCCCTCCCGCCTTCTCGGGGCCCTCGAAGGCCCGGACCCTCCGGGTCCGGACCTTCGGTCCGTTCCGGAGTTTGAAAATTTTCGGCCACGAGCGCTTCGGAAGATTTTCAAACTTCAATAAAGCGCTTTTTAGCGCGCGGGGCAAGCATGCGGGCCCTCTATGCGTTCTTCGCGTCGGCCCTCGCCTCGACGTGCTCGTCGTCGAAGCAGCCCAACGTCGTCTACATCGTGACGCCCGCCCGCGTCCGAACCCTCGAGCGCGCGAGACGCGCCGCCGACAGGTCACGGACGACCAGGACCAGATGCTGGGCTCGAGCTTCCCCACCGTCGGCGGCGCCACGCCCCTCCCGAAGACGAAGCGGCTCCTCGTCGACGAGGGCGCGACCTTCACCAACGCCTTCATCCACGTGCCCATCTGCAACCCCTCCCGCTCCACGACGCTCACGGGCCGCTACTTCCACAACCTGCGGACGACGAACACGTCCTGGGCCGCCATGCACGTGAACATGGACGCCGTGCACAACCGGAGCTTCGGCCTCGTCTTCCAGCGCGCGGGCTACGCGACGGCGCTCCTGGGCAAGTACGTCAACGCCATGCCGGAGGGCTACGTGCCCCAGGGCTGGTCCGCGTATTTGGCGAACGGCGGCGGTGACTACTTCGGCCCCGAGTTCGTCGCGAGGAACGCGCCGGGCATCCCAGACGGCGCCTACGCGGCGCCCAAGGACGCCTACACGGTGTCCGTCGTCGGCAACGCGTCCGTGGCCTTCCTCGAGAGGCACCTGTCCAAGTCGGAGCCCGTGCTGCTCTACTGCGCGCCCAAGGCCGTCCACGAGCCCTTCAACCCGCCGCCCTGGTACGCGGACCATTGGGACCCGAGCTGGCCGGCGAAACCCGTGCGCGGGCCCGCCTGGAACGCGACGTTCGACGCGCGAAGGCGCCACGCGGCGAACGTCCCGACGCAGCCGATGATCACGGCCGCGGCCGCCGAGGTCGTCGACGGCGTCTATCGGAACCGCTGGCGGTCGCTCATGGCCGTCGACGACCTCGTGGAGGCGCTCGTGACGACCGTCGACGCCCGCGGCGCGACGGACCGCACGTACTTCGTCTTCACCTCGGACCACGGCTTCCAGCTCGGCCAGCTCAACATGCTCATGGACAAGCGCCACGTCTACGACTGGGACACGCGCGTGCCCCTGGTCATCAAGGGCCCCGGCGTCGGCAGGGGGACGACGGTGGGCGCGCTGGTGACGAACGTCGACCTGGCGCCGACCCTGGCGGAGCTGTGCGGCGTGGGCCGCGCCTTCGACTGGGACGGGCGGTCCGTCGCCGGGCCTCTCAAGGGCGAGGCCGACGAGACGTGGCGCACGTCGGTGCTCGTCGAGTACTACTTCAACGACGCGAACGACAAGTGCGTCGCGGACTGCGCCGCGCCGAAAACGGCGTACCCCGGCGCGGACGTCTGGTGCGGCGACCTCGAAGAGGGCGACGCCTGCTGGGGGCCGGCGCCGAACGGCGGCTGCGTCGGCGCCTGCTACCCGACGGAAAACGCGGGCAACAACTTCCTCGGCCTCCGGAAGATCGACGGCGGCGTCGACCTGCTCTACGCGAAATACGAGAACGGGACCCAGACCGCCGCGAACCTGACGTTCCGGAGCCCGACGGCCCGCGAGCTCTTCGACACGGCGGCGGACCCCTGGTGCACCGTGAACACCTACGCGAGCGCCGACGGCGGCGCGCGCGCGGCGCTCGACGCGGAGCTCGACGCGTGGTTCCGCTGCGCGGGCGCGGCCTGCCCCTAAAAGTTAGCCCCGCTCCTGCCCGACGTGCGCGCGGACATCTTCGCCGCCGTCATGCCCTTCTCCTGGGGCAGGGACGACGGCCGGGGCCGCGCGACGGGCGCGGTCTGCGACGGGTGGCCGCCGCCGGAGCACGCGCCGCAGCACAGCACGCACGCGGCGCAGGTCGCCAGGGCCGTGACGCCGCCCACGGCGAAGAGGAGCCAGTGGTGGGACGCGAAGTCGCAGGGCCACTCGAAGTACGGCGCGGCCGGCCCCAGGAACGAGAAGAAGCCGCAGGAGCCGTCGTCGTCGTCGTCGTCGTCGTCGACGACGGCGTCGTAGGTGCTGTCGCCGTAGGTGCCGCCGTCGTCGCCGTAGGTCGCGTCGTCGCCGTAGGTCGCGTCGCCGGCGTCGTCCTCCGTGAACGACTGGTCGGCCGGCGTGACCCAGGAGTGGGCGAGGCCGTGCTCCGCGAAGCTCCCGAACTTGTGCCAGTCGGCGCCGCCCTTGGTCGGCCGCTCCGTGCGCGGCGCGTCGTCGCCCCGGAGCAGGAGCACGTCCGCGTAGCGGCCGCCGACGCGGCCCGCGTGGTAGACCTCGGAGAGCATGTAGGGCCCCGTGGCCCGCAGGACGTCCAAATCGCTCACGGCGTCGCTCCCCTCCAGCGCCTCGCAGCGCCGCACGGCCTCCTCGAGCGCGTCCGTCACGAGCGGGTGCGCCGGGGCCGCGGCGAACGCGTAGTTGCCGACCTGCCAGTGCTCGTCGGCGTCCATGGCTTTTCGCCGGTGCCGCGCGAAGAAGGCGGCGTCGTCCTTCCACCACTCGAGGGGGAACGCGGCGCCGTAGTCGGCCTGGTCCGCGAGCGGCGCGAGCGACGCCTTGCTCACCATGTCCATGTCGAGCCAGAAGCCGCCGAGCTTCGCGACCGCGGCGAGGCGGAAGAGGTCGGCCCGCATGACGGGCCGCGCGGCGTTTTCGTAGGCCGACACGAGGGGCGTGCCGGCGTACTCGTTTCGCACGAACTCGAGCGCCGCGGCGTCGTCGAAGAAGAGGCGGTCGAAGCCGGCGTTGAGCGCGACGGTCTTCGCCGTCGCCGCGGGCCAGGTCGGCTCCTGGTCCTCGGCGGCGGCGGACTGGATCAGGCGCGTCGGGATCCGCCGCGTCGGCGCCGGCGCGCTCGCCGGGACGGCGTCGGCGACCGCGACGTCGAGGTCCGTCGCCGACGACGTCCATCGCACGCCGCGCAGCATCGTCGCCAGGTTGCCGACCACGAGCACCGTCGCCACGCCGACGTAGACCGTCGGCCGCCGCCATTTCCGCCGCGCGCGCGGCACGAGGTGGAGCCCCACGCCGTCCATGGCGACGGCGGCCGCGGGCACGATCACCAGGGCGGGCGTCGATCGGGCTGATTTGCCGTAGAAATCGGGAGAAAACCGAGGTGCAAAGATGAGGGCTTAGATGTTGCCGTGCCGTTGCGGCTGAGCTTGCACTTTAGGCCGCCTTTGAGGGGCGGCTTGACGTACTTACCCAAGCCGGGGGGTCGGCTAAATTCGCGGTGAGTAGTGGGTGATGCCGCCCATCTGGATCTGGCCCGGGTAAAGGGGGTTCGTGGTGTAGTAGCCGGGGCCGTTCTGCACGACGGTTCCCTGGAAGACCTGTCCGGGAGATTGCACGACGGTTCCTTGGAGCACTTGCCCCGGGACGACGCCGGCGACTTGGCCCTGCGCGCCGCCGGCGGCCCAGCCACCGGGCGTCGCCGACGGCTGGCTCGGCGCTTTGGGAGGAAAAGGCGACGGCTGGCGGGTCTTGTTCGCTCTTTTTTCGGCCCGGACCCTTTCGCGATTTTCGCGTGCTTGGCGATCGCTCCGCTGGCTTAAAAAGCAGCAGAAACCCAAGCAGCCAGGAATCAACAGCAGCCAAATATAACGCATGATATAGTGACCCGCTCGGCGGCTCAGCCAGGACGCCTTAGTTT